CTGTCCCCCGGAAATTAAAAGCACGTACTCGGGTAAGGGGCGCAGCGCACAAGCTGAAGCTGAAGCCCTTTGAGTAACCTCTCCCTTGAGCACGACCTTAACAGTGAGGCATAATAACTGCCTAGAATTAAATTAAATTTTTGAATCATAGACAAAGAAAGACAAAGCTTACTTGACAGCCAAGGGAATATCTTGATTTCCTATCATAAAAAACCTTGCCATGAAAACCAGGTTTTTCATACAGATTAATTGTTGTCCCATCAACAGCTAGAATCCCATTCTGCCACTCAGGGCAAACTGTCTTCCCAACAAAATCCTGAGCAAGCTGGAAATCCTGTGAATCAGGTGGAGGAAAGCCCATGAATGCATCATGCTGATCAAGCAGGGCAACCATTACACAATTAGTGCAATTAACAACTGATCCAACACTAACACCCACCCATTGAGCCACATCCTCCAGAGATATGGCATTACCGTAGTGGCCAGCATGGTGTGGGTACAACAAGTGCAGCAGAGAGAAGTCAATCTACTACACAGTTGGGTCTTTGCTGCCTGCTGCCTCGCTTGGAAACAAGCACGTTCAACCCTTAAGGGGATTACTACTGGGGAAACACTAGTCTCTGTCTAAAGCGACCCTATAGGATGAAGGATCCACAAAAGCAGATGAAACGGATAGGATGCGAAACGTATGGATTCATCGGATGGAGCAGATGATACTTGCAGATCAGATGGGATGCGAATCAAAGTCAAAGGAAGTTCATTAAAGGTTGGATGGATAGTGGGTATAAGTCAAAGCGACCTTCTGGTAAGGTGCAGGAAAAGTGGGAGGAAGTTACATGAAGTAAGTATTTTTCAAAACCCTCCATGCTTATAGGGTACAGTATTTTCAAGGAACATAGATATATAGGTAGCAAGTCTAGACCGTGCCATAAGCTATCCGAAAAATACTGGAGTGTGAGAGGATATGTCTGTGTTCAGTCAGTAACAAGAAAATGTGTGTGAGTATGTACCAATGAGGTAGAATGGACGTGGACAGGACGGATGCGGCGGATGCGCGAGCTATAGGGGGAGATCTGAAGGTATCCGCATGTCATCCGAAAAGCGGATGGGTATCGGATGGAATGGATAGGTGTCAGATGGATGTCGGATGGATGCCTGATGCATCAGAAAAGTGGTGGATATGAGCCTAGCATAGGGATACTCCCTACAACAGTTAAGAAAAATAGCAAGTTGTATAGCAATGGGAAGCTGAGAGTTGTGTGAGTTGTTGTGAAAAATGGGATGGTCAGAGATTAGATCCAGGATGTCGTCAAAGATTTCTGGGTCGATGCATAATTTTTGCCAAAATAAGTAAGGACAGTGTTCCTCAAAATGAACAAGAAGGTGCAGCTGTGGGGCTCATAGGGGAGGTTCATCAGGCCTGTAGAGTACACATGCTCTTTCTACCTTGTCCCGGAGAGCCTCAATGGAGTCTCAAATCTGGTCATAATGGGCAGTAAGATGATCAGCTTCATCTCCAGATGAGTCAGAGTCCGAAAAGTCACTATTTGAGTCATCAGAGAAGAATGGGGAAAGAGGTGAAGGAGGGGTAATCACAATGTTCATGAAAGAGTTGCTGAGATCTGATTCCAAATCTGAAGAGCTTGAGATGGGGTTCATAGATTCATCATCTTGTACCAAGGCATGCTGATATGCAGCCCTAGCTAGTGAGAGTGCAGCCTGGTCAATTTCATGCAACATATCTGTCCACCTGGATGGACGAGGCATGGTGAAGGTCGAGGGGGATCAATTCCCCTATCTTCCGCTGCACATGTAACTGATTACGATGTAAATTAGGGTGGAGATTGAATTTCCAGGTTGTTCCGGACCTTTTGTTTCATCCCTCAGATGACTGTGGTAGGTGTCCTTGAAGACTCAGATCTCACCCTGGCACCTCACACGCAACACCGACTACAAATTCAGGAAGCTGTCAATGGATATGGACACAAGGTGTGTGCACCTCTGGCACCTTACCACCCTTTGCCCTAATCATCACCCCACAGCCTTATCAGGCTGCCGGTGCAATCTTTTCACGGATCTCAGCCGGGCTTAACTGCTCAGTGCCCTTCCCCCAGCACCCTCACTTTGACTCTACTTCACCCAACACCACCTCGTCACAACCCAGATCAGATCACACATCAAAATTATTTTCACTTGTACATCCAGCAGGGAGCACCTGTTCAAGTTCAAGGAATGTTCAGTCCTCTTCTAGCGCTCAGTACAGCGACCATGTCGCTAGTTCTCAGCCCACTCCCCCCAGCGCTCAGTCTTCTTCCAGTGCTCAGTGCAGCAGCCATATCGCTGGTGCTCAGCCCACTCCCCCAGCGCTCAGTCTTCTTCCAGCGCTCAGTATGTCAGTCCTCTTCTGGTGCTAAGTACAGCGGCTATGTTGCTGGTGCTCAGCTTGCTCAGCAGTATGACACCCACACCTCCAGCTTGGGTGTTCCCCTGGCGCTCAACCCCCAGCCCCCTCAATTTGACATTCTTCTTACTCATCCTTGCATGCTCCACCCCCTCCCCACTTTCACTTTGTGCTTCCCCACTCCTTTCATTTGAGGACTCCTTATCACTTTGCTAGACTTCTTTTTTTTCAGCATTGCTTTTGATTTAGTGGGTTCAGGTATGGGGTACATTGATTTGCTAGTTATGTTGTCCCTATTCCTCTTTGCTACACACCTATTCGCTATCAAACACACCCTCCGAACTTTGTAGCACATGCAAGCCTCGCAAATACACAAGTGTTGTTTCTAAGTCCGCCATTATGCCGATGTGTGCCGAGTGTGTTGGTGGCTGATCCTTGTAGCTCTATGGGAGTTCTGTAAGACTCTAGTGGACTTTAGCGAACTTTAGCAAGTATCCCAAAAACTACTCTGAGTCCCACCAGTGGCATGCTGTTGGGAGCTCCCACAAATGATCATGTAGTCCTTCCACTCATCCAGCATAGCTTTCTCGTTGTCGTCATGGTCGAACAAATCCTGGTAAATGAGGCGGTGTTTGATTCCAGGGCATTTCTGCTCTTTCCGAGCCTGTTCCAACAAGGCAGATTCTACACTTGCACCAACTGCGCCAATAGCGTGGTGTAGCTGTTTGCGCAGTGAGTGGGGAAATGAATGCAGTCTGTAGGGCCCACGCCAGATCAGTCTCACAAGAAGGTGAAAGATAAACAGGTTTCTGAACTTCGCATGAATAATAAGGGTTCCATCCTGTTTAAAAACTCAGTGTGAACTCGGACAAACACAAAAAGAAAAAAATATACTGCAGCGAACGAATAGTCGTGCATGAAAGCCAATGGATTGTCTTGAACGCTAGATATTGTACTCGATTGACGTGAAATATCTCTGGGGAGACTCATCACTGCTTAGTGGAGGAAAGAGCAAATATCCCATCATGATACCACCACAAGCGAGCGTCCGCATCATGACTACATCAGCAAACTACTTCGTTCTGTACAGAGCTGTACAGAGCGAAAGATACACAGCTTAGTCCCTTCTGTACACTTAACTACAATAATACTTCATTCTGTTTGTTCCTGTACAGACCGCCACAGACACCCACCAAGAATTGCGTTATGTACAATATTTCAACACTGTGACAAAAAAATATCTTGTGCTACTGTTCAGTAGCACACTGACCTGTAAAGTTGTACTGTTCTGTCCACACATATAAAAGATGTATGCAATCACAAGAGTGTATTAGATCACAGATAGTAACACGGAAACACAGATGCAGATACACAAGCACTACTACTAATGATGGATGATAGTCGCAAAATAGTGGTCCAAATCTAATCGAGCACGACCCGCAAATGACAATGCTTTGATGCATCCTTGCCGTCGAGTTTGCAGGACTGCGCCCTGTGTGGATTTAATGAGCGAAGACTTATTTTGAAAAAAGCTCCTTACCATCCTTCTACGGCCCACTTGTGAAGCTGTCGTGTCAACTTAGGGCCATGGTATGCGTTGTGGGTGAGGAAAATAGACTCTGTGTGGATCAGAAGTCTAACAAGGGTGCGAGGCTTATACTCGTCCCAAGGGGATTGCTACTGGGTAGCGAGTCCTCAAATAAGTGCGAGGAAACAAAGACTAGACTCTGTCTAGCGACCTGAAGGGTTCCGGTCCTTACTAGGACTGGGAACACAAAGATGCGGAGGGTTCCCGACAAGCGGAACTCAGTGCGCAACGAGCGGAACTAATGCGCAACGAGTGGAACTACGGGGAACTAACAGAACTAATGCGGAGCAAACAGGACAAACGGGGAACAAACAGAACTAATGGGGAACAAATGGAGGGAAAAGAAACTACAAGCCTGCAGGAGGATGATTGGGCAAAGTCGGGCCAGGCTTGTGTCTGGTACTTGCTCCAAGTCATCGGATCTGATGTCGGGCGTTTTGAGCGGAACTCACAGGGGCGGGAATGATGCAATGTGATCAGGAATAGATTCAGGAAGATATTTTAGACAGTGAGTGGAGTACTGGGAAGTACTCTGTAAGTGGAAGTGGAGTCGAGTCTATCAGAAGGTAAAAAACTAAGATCCCATCTATTGCTACCTATATAGGAAGGGGTTCTGAAGTGCGCTATGCTACAACCGGGTGAGGCTGTGAGATAAGGAATTGGTCCCGAGTAGCGGAAGGATCCGTATAAGTACCGTAACACATGGGAAATGAGATAGGAACATGTTAGTAACACGGGGAATGTAGCTAGTACTCACCAGCAAGGACAGAAGGACATGGACAGGATGGAGGAGGACATTCCGAAGGCTAAAAGGATATGATGTGTGTGGTACGTGATTGTTCTGCTGGGTTCCGCTTGGTTCCGTGTAGCGGACGGCTTGGGGAAGATGTGGATGGGTAGCAGGATGGTAGCAGAATGCATGGGAAAATGGTGGGAAGGCATGGGAATTATACGGGATATGGGCCTACAGTAGGGACGTTCCCCACAGCATGCTTCATGATCTTCTTGAGTTCAACAACCATCGAGAAATAGACAGAGGAGTAGTCTTTGGCAGTGAACTTCGGAAAATACTAGCCCATCGAAGATGCAGTTGTACTACAAATTTGGTGTCAGCGCATCATTAGTATAAAATAAATATATATAAAAAGTACCGCAGCACAAACCAAAGCCAAAGACTCCAAAGGTAACTCCTCTTTGAAGATATCGGGTCTCCTCTGAGCGATATGATAGGAACCGGTGTAGAAGAAGGTGATGGCAGCTGCCTTGAGTGTGGGATGAGCAGTGTTGTTGGTTTTCCCAAGTTCATCCACACCATCGCGAAGAAACACAGAGTCGTCCAACAGTTCTGTAGTAGCGTTTGTGACCCAGGCGGTGCGAGCTTGAGGAAGTATGTCAGCTGAGGGGATGAGGTTATACATGGAGGGCGCAATGTTGATGGCTATCTTCTTGAGGTCGGAGTGCCAGGTTGATAAGTCTTCATGTAGCAGCTTGGCCATATCAGCCTTGTGGTCAGGCCATATACCTAGTTGACCTCATGAGTGAGATATCTCGGGGAAAAAAAAAACATACCCGCTTCCACCTTGTTACCTGCTTCAAGCCATTCGACGAGTGACATTGAGAGTGCTTCGGTGACTGAAAGAGGCAGATCCTTGACCGCGTCCAGGAATGCATTCTCGATTGCGTGCTGGGCACGACACTCTGATTTTGTCTCCTCAAGAAAGGTCTTCCACCGTGAAGGATACCAGCCGAGTTGGGTCGGCTTAGGGCCTTCAGTAGGTTCCTTGGACTTGGATGATTTCACCTTCTTAGCCTTACCGCCCGAGTTGCATGACTTCACATTCGTGGCTTGAGTTTCTTGGCGACGGATGAGATCGAGCATTGCAGGGTCAGGGAGGCGCGGACGTCCATTTTTCTTGTGGTGACCCTGTAAGACATCCTCCAGCTTGGTAGGCTTCAAGGAATCATTATTGAACTCTGTGAAATCATCGATGGATGTACCTCATCCATAATATTGTTGCTACTGGAGGTCTTGTCACCGACTGCTAACGATTCACTTGCAAGATTCTCGTCTTCATCTCGCGAATACTGGAATTCAAAATCAGAAGGTAGAGCGATGGGCTGAGGCTGGGACACTGGTATTCCTTCCTTCTAAAAGCCTGTATCTCATTAGTGATAGATACAATTAGTAAATGATCACATACCGGGATGCACACTATGACACCCATGGTCTCCTCCCCAATCAATTTTGCCGTCGTCATTCTCACTTTCTTTGTCAGTGTCACTTTTGTCAGCGTCATCAGTAGAGGAATTGTCATTGTCATTGTTGGATGTCAAGACTTCAGCTTGAGCTTCCTGTGGTCTGTGACCTCGCTACTCTCATCTTGTGTTTTGTCCTGAGGCGTTCTCTCCATACTCTCTCCTTCACTAAAAATGTCACCCGAATCCACTGGTTCATAGGACTTGGATATGTAAGGTTCAATGTCATCCAATTCCATGGGATGATCTTCCAGTGGGGAGCAGCTGGATTGCTCAAGTTGGATCAGGTTGTCAAGCCAGGTATTACATCCGGATAAGGGCTGACTCATATGGCGAGCGACAGATGAGTGATCTTTGAATTTCTTGCCGCACAAAGGACAATAACTTGAAGCTTCAGGCATGCTGAAGTCGTCAACATATGAAGTCCAGGCCCGGCATTTTCCGATAATCCTTCGATGACCAAAGGCCCAGCACTTTCCAATAATCCTTCTTCGCATATGATGACCATTTCTACTATACAATCCTTATCAGTCAGAGCTTCTGGTTTATACTTGCAAAACTCTCTCCAAGCCTACCACAACAGCGACGGGGACTCTCGCGAGCCATGTCATTCAAATCTGCACACCAGTTATCATACTAGTGGTATGTTTGATATATTGGAAGTTGTTGACAATTTCAATGCTATGGTGAGTCAGTCTTTCAACGTTTTTATAAAGTCTCAAAAGGATCGGCATCTCAACAGTCCGTCAAAGATCCATCTGACAGTGAAGCAAACCTGATGATGGACCTTGTAAGAGCGAAGCGCAACATTTTTCAAGCTCAGAAGGCCCTCGCAGATTTGATACTACAAGAACACGAGGTTTTGTCAAGCTTGTTGAGGTTCCAAGCTGAAACTGTGGGGAAGAGGTTGGATGATGTGGACCTTGGACTAGGATATATGCGAGTTGTCTTCAAGAAGCACGGTTGGACTCATCACTCTCAGGCCCCTCTATCTGGACAGGGATGTCTGCATGCCAGTAAACTTGTTATACTGGTATCACAGGTTGAACTGATGTCTGAACACATCACAGACAACTTAGAAAATGCATGGCATGTCACCATTTGACTTGATTGATTCTGTTCATTGGTGCTTTCCTCATTTTTTTTTCCAAAGTTTAGCCATGTCGTGCTTGTGCTTTCTGATATTCCCTCCAGTGCTTTGAGGTCTAACAGAATATCCCACAATCTCGACTCCAGCTCTATTCCACACGAGGTACACAATGCGCTGACACTGACAGTGCTGCCGCAGGCACACAATATTTCCCACTGTGTTGCAGATGATGGGGGGACAAGGGGAGAACGGATCTGTGAATTGAATCGGACACACGAGAACGAGGCGCGAATGAACGAACACTAAGAAACCACCAGCATCACCAGATCTGTCATTATGACAAGGTTGCGGTCAATGATGTAGCGCTGTGCATATACACGAGCGGAAGACAAGGTCAAAACGAAACACAAGGCTCGCTGTTCTGCTAGATCACTGACCAAAACAACAACCAGTGAGAAATACAACCCAGCACGATCCACAGTGTATTCACCATTTGCTATTCTGTATTCTCCAGCATAGCTAATCCATAGCCTCCCGAACACCAACTCTAAAAAGTAAAGCGCCAGTCAATTACACGCATATATCACACTCCAAAATGACTCACTCATCAAGCTTCATAACGCCCCAAATATACTGTCTCCACGGGCTCTCCCTCCTCCTTTGATCCCATCCTTCATAGCTATGTCTTATCTCTATCGCTGAGAGGCTTTTGAGAGAGTCATGTCTGTTGGTGAGATGTTGAACATCTGGGGTAAGGAGAGGAGGACCGAATCTGTTTTGTATCTGTAATTAGACGTTCATTATTACATTTCAATTTGAGGGCATGGTGAACAAGAAGAGAACGTACCTGAGGTTCCCCAGCCCTCAACAGGCCTCTCTCAGTCTCACACATCAATGGCATGTGCTACAGCATGACAGCCATCGTAGTATCTGAGGCAGATGAACCGGATACTTGATGGGATTGATATTGTGCCTGCTGCATGTCAGGTTTAGCGAGAGTTTGATCAAAAGGCTCAGAGGACACGTACTGTTCTGCCCTATGGTTGGTCTGATGTTGGAGTTCAATCCAGAGAATAGCTCATTGTGTGTTGCGAGAAGCTCCTACCTTGTTGCCTGGTGACACAAATCATCATTGGCGTCCATCCAAACCTCAATATAATATATCAATCAGTTTATTGAGTTTATTGCGCTTGATTTGACAGTTAATTTGTACTTTGAGCTTTATTGGACAGCAGGAGGTGCGGTGTAGGAAGCCAATCGCTACTAAGCTAGTATCCCCTATCTTTCCGATCCTCTCCGACCCACTTTCCCGCGCTGCCGCTCCACATCAACGTCAGCCGACGATCAGCCCAGTTGGTTGCACTCGATCCAAGTCGGACATTGTCTGCACACACAATCAGTCACTATCCATCGTCTCATGTCATTGGCCCGTTGTCTACTGGTACGTATATCGCTTACTTTCATTGCTTTCCACCCCCATTCGCATAATTGGACCGCTTATCGGCTTTTTATTGCCCCACCTCACACCTTATTACATGGACACAGAGAAACAAGTATTTAGCAATCCATGAGGCATCTTAAGTGACCCGAAGTTCCCCTTCATTGCTTAGTCTCATTTACTATATATTCCGCCCATGTTCTTAGTAGTTTCTCAAGCAAAATTCTCACTTGGAACGATTTCTTGTGTGATTTCTCATTGAGTCGTCGACTGACTCTCTTAAATGTTCGCTCATCATACTACACACACACCTCTATTTCACTCATTTATTACTCAGGACCGCTCCACTTCACTCTCTCTTTGCTCAACTTCGATTGGCCAAGTCGGCATTGGCATTGACTATTAGGTCGGACAATACAACTTGTTGTTGGTGGTTTGCATTGCACTGCTTCCCCTATAGGGTCAAATGCACTTGAATCAGCCGCAGTCGTGCCGATAACACAGTAGCAACCGAAACCCACAGCGGGATGCAAGCCTCCAGACAGAATTCAAAGTCAATACAAATCTCAAGGATCCCAGAAGTCAAAGTGACCATGTGGAACCAGACAGAATTCAAAGTCGGTGCAAATCTCAAGGATCCAGAAGTCAAAATGACCATAAGTGTGTGCCTCGCCAATGTCGCAAGGAAGCTTCGGTTTGGGGTTCAGAACGGTTCGGGAACATCCAAACCTATGTCCAAACCATTCGGGAGACAGCAGACCATGAACCTCATTCTGGTTCGGTCCGCACAAAATTCAGAACCATGGACCGAACCAAGGACGAACCTGACCATTGGTCTGGTTCAAACCATGGTTTGGGACCAGACCACGGCAGCACTAAACATATGTACCATGTAAATTCTTGCAATATCGTTTATATGTCCAAAATATATGTTCGCATTGGTTCGTAATTTTCAGTGCGCTTCTATGAGTGATGTAAATGATTCCGAAATATACTAAGTACACAGTGTATACTACTAGTACTAGTATGATCATGACACTTGCAAATTGAAGCCTGTGCTAGTAATAGTCAAAGTCTGGAAGAAACTGTGACTCTGTGAGTGGCTGGAAGTAAGTGGCGCTGTAGCTACTTTGAAGCCTGTACTAGTAGTCGAAGTCTGGAAGAAACCATGACTCTGTGAGTGACTGGACATAAGTGGTGCTGTAGCTACTGTATGCTGTGAGCTTTGTGTGAACTGTGAAGTGTTGTGGTTGGCTGTAGCTAGGGTGTGAATTTAAGTCTTCTGTAGACAAATTTGGTAGTTTGCTGATGTAGGATTCCCGTAATACACATCGCAATCACTGCTCCCCATATTGCCGTAACATCCCCGTTTCCCACCCAGCCAGCACACAACCCCTAGCAATCGATTTCTTTGGTGACTTGTTTGGAGAGCTATGACTATTTTTTTTGGAACAGCTTCGCGGATAAGGAGAGTTATCATACATGCAGTACAGAGTATGAGGCCATCAGTAGCTAGTACTAGTAGCACAATCTTTAATTTATGCATCAATTGCCGCATTGGGCTGCAGGTCAATTTTATGTAATGTCTACCATTTCAATAAAATATAATGTTACATCCAGATATATATATTGCACAACGGGAAAGTCTCTTCTACTAATCACATTGCTCCATCACCAGCGTCATAACCTCATTGTAAGCATCAAACTTCTTTCTGACAAACAAGAAAACTGGGCATTTTGCTGACATGTTACGGCCCATAATAGCCTATTCGCTTTACCTGCTGCCATGTATGATGTATCACAATCCTTTCCGGCCATCAGATCAGCCTGACAATATTGATGATCACAAGATACCTATGGTGACTATACCTATCAATTTGCGCCTGAGGAGCTCTGCACCTGTGGGGATCTAGATCTACACATGGACTGACCAACTCGCATTGCATTTTGATTGTGCCCATAGTGTGTAGTAACTTCATATAAGTAACTTGAACAATGCAAACGAACCAAAAACTTGAAACCCAACATTGTGTGACGGATGATGCTGCAAAAAATTAATTCCTTCTAATATCGATTTCTGTGATATATTTCCCTATCTCGTCTCCCCATTTCAGTTTCTTCCTCCCAGACATTCCTGGAATCCCGGAACTGAGCAATATATTAGTGCTTGAAGTCCTACCTTGAGGCTTGTGGTCAAGGGTATTTGCCGTTCAGCGCTTGTTATTATTATTAAATAGGTTTAATTTATCGACTTATCTCTTGCACCTCCACTTCGTTCAGACAGATCCACATCATTGACTATTTGTGATGAGTGATGAGTGCAGGCAAGATTCTCCTCCAGAAGCTTTGAGATCCAGAGAAGCAGCCACAGGGCAATGTTCAGTACATGCTCTCACAAGATCTATCACATTTGAAACTGCTGCCTCTGACACATCCTTCAGAGCCAACCCCGTGGCAGAGATCGTCAATCCCTGCAGACGTTGAAGGATGATGTAACTAAAATAGTTTCTGCGCGTTGTAGGGAGTATCCCTACGCTAGGCTCGTATCCACCACTTTTCCGATGCATCAGGCATCCATCCGACGTCCATCCGACACCTATCCATTCCATCTGATACCCATCCGCTTTTCGGATGACATGCGGATACCTTCGGATCTCCCCCTATAGCTCGCACATCCGCCGCATCCGTCCTGTCCACGTCCATTCTACCTCATTGGTACATACTCACACACATTTTCTTGTTACTGACTGAACACAGACATATCCTCTCACACTCCAGTATTTTTCGGATAGCTTATGGCACGGTCTAGACTTGCTACCTATATATCTATGTTCCTTGAAAATACTGTACCCTATAAGCATGGAGGGTTTTGAAAAATACTTACTTCATGTAACTTCCTCCCACTTTTCCTGCACCTTACCAGAAGGTCGCTTTGACTTATACCCACTATCCATCCAACCTTTAATGAACTTCCTTTGACTTTGATTCACATCCTGTCCGATCTGCAAGTGCCATCCGCTCCATCTGATGAATCCGTACATTTCACATCCTATCCGTTTCATCCACTTTTGCAGATCTTTCATCCTATAGGGTCGCTTTAGACAGAGACTAGTATTCCCCAGTAGCAATCCCCTTAAGGGTCGAACGCACTTGTTCCCAAGCGAGGCAGCAGGCAGCAAAGACCCAACTGTGTAGTAGATTGACTTCTCTCTGCTGCACTTGTTGTACCCACAGCGTTGACATGAATGCTGAGCGCCCTCAAATAAGGCTGATATTGCACAGAAACAATTCAATAATTCCCGCATTAATTCTCCTGCTCTCCGAAACGAAGGAGCTTCATCAACTCAGAATATTGAGGTAGGTGTTGATGCTTGTTGTTACGGTCCTTCAGTCATCTGAGAGATGCCCAGGATCTATCGCAATTGCATCAACCATCTGTACCATCTCTTGTAAAGGTATTTGTGCCCAATGACTTACTTGTTGGTCTGTAATTTTGTTCGTCATACAGGTTCTCGATGCCGCTTCTGATGTGGGGGAAGATACTAATCTCAAATCGGCACTTCGAGATGCACATGAGGCTGTGAAAGGCATGAAACCACTCTCGGGACACGTAACCACTGTGGCATCCACCGCCAACAATGCCCCAGTGGATCTCGATTCTGCAGATTGTTTCCAGACCTTGTATCTCCAATCCCTTAGAACTTTCAACATTATTGTTGAGAAGCTCGCTGATGTATGGGCCTTCTCCTTGTTTGGAAGCGAACTAACCAAGTTATATAGGTACATCCATATGCTAATATGGCGCTGGGTGTGCTGTCCATTGCATCCAAAGTGCATGTTTTCACCCTGAGCTTTATCTCATGCTAAGCAACCATTGACTGCGCAGATTGTTCTTGATCAAGTGGTTCTCAACCAATCGGTAATTCATCTTCTCAAGAAACTAGGTGAAGTGTACGGCTTCATGACTCAAGATGAAACTCTTGCCCGGATTTCATCTATGCACCGTATCGTCAGACAGATCGCGAGGCAGACTCTTGAGTGCACACATTTCATCAGGGATTACTCTGAGACGAAGAGCTATTGTGAGTAGTTGAGCTACTGCACTTCGCACATTGTGAATCTTATGCCATTACCATAGGGAAGAGACTCGGGAAAAACATTGTCTCTGAAATGGAAGATATGATTACTCGGTACAGCGCCGCTTTAGATGAGCTTATGCAACAATTTCAGGACCAAACCCTTTGGGACGTAGCCATCTTTGTTCAATGCATGGGTAAGAATTCAGATGTGCTTCCAAGTCTGCATTCAATCACACACCTTCAGGTGAAACACTGGATCTCGGCAATGTGGCTTATGCAAAGGGTGCAGGACTAGATACTACGAAACAATGCCTACCAGGGACGCATATGGAGATTCTCTCCCAGATTACTGACTGGATCAACAGCAGTGGAGATGCTGCTCAGCGTGTGCTGTGGTTATCTGGCCCTGCAGGCACGGGAAAATCAGCCATCGCGCACACGATCGCTAAATGGTTCAATGACACAGGAGGGATCAGTTCATGTTTCTGCTTCGACCAGCACCTTGAAGCTGACAATCGTCACCAAAAAGTTTTCTCTACCATCGCTCATGATCTGGCTGATTGTGATCCGGAGATGAGACGAGCATTGGTGAATGCCATTCAAAATGACATTTCACTCAAAAATACGAAGGATATCCTCCAGCAGTGGGAGAAGCTCCTCATGAAACCGCTAGGGAAGCACTCTGAGTTGAGTGTAGGACCTGTCTTGATTGTCATCAAAGCGCTGGATGAAAGCAGCGAACCCGAGACACGGCGTAACCTTCTGCGCATACTCGCTGGCAAGCTTAAGCAGCAGGGTCTTCCACAAATCACCAAACTTCCATCTAACTTCCGGATTCTTGTCACCTCTCATCCACTTGACAATATCAATAAGGGGTTTGAAGGCGCTTGGCATATTCTACGGTTGTCCATGGATGATATTCCACCAGAAGTCGCGGAACGCGACATCCATGCTTATGTATCCAAGGAGCTGAAAGGGCTCTCGGGTTTCCAGGACAGAGATTTTGCAATGCTAGCTACGAAAGCTGAGGGACTGTTTGAGTGGGCGCGCCTTGCATGCAAGTACATCAGGGAACTGGATACTGGCTCATTCTTGAGGGATTGTTTCAATGCTGTCATGAGCCTCGATCCAGGGGAGCAGAAGACCTTGTTGCATGATATGTATCAGCTTATTTTGGGGGGGATTATGCCAAAGGATAGGACAGGAATAGCAAGGTTTCGTTCCATGATGGGACAAATACTTGGCATAGCCGAACCCCTCCCTTCAGTTTCGCTGAATGTCATGCGGAACAATTTCCCGGAGGACCATGACCATTACCCTGTAGAGGTTGTGATAAAACAAATGGGATCACTCCTCAGCGGCACTACCAACCCACATACCCCCATCCAGCCCCTTCACGCATCCTTCTGTGAATTCCTGACAGACCAACAATCCAGTGGAGACTTCTTTGTTGAGGTGTCGAAGGTGCATCAATGCAACCTTGCATTTGCATCACTTCAAGTGATGGAGCATGCCCTTCACTTCAACATCTGTGATTTGAAGTCTTCATATCTTCCTAATTCCGAAGACACTGGGCTACGAGAATGAGTCAAATCATGCATCCCTCACCATCTATCCTATTCCTGTTGATTTTGGGCTACGCACGTATGAGCCACAGACTTCGACACAGAACTTGCAAGGGAAATTAAATTGTTCTTCAACAATGAGCAACTACTCTTCTGGATTGAAGCCCTTGGCCTTCTCAATGTGCTCAGCGGCGCAGTGGCTGCGCTTCTGCTCATTTCCCAGTGGCTGAAGGTGAGCACATGGTTACCAGGCAGTGTCAGATGAAGCACTTACACACATCCGCAGTCCCATTCTGATTACAAATATGACCTGTCCACTGCAATGGACGTGCAGAGATTTATTCAAGTCTTTGGTGGCATGATTTTGCACAGCACACCCCATCTATATATATCGGCATTGCCATTCTCACCTATACACTCCACTATGGCTACAAACTTTACTGCAAGGTTCCCCAATAGTCTCCATCTGACATCTGGACGTGATGTGAACTGGACAGCTGTTCAGACCATGATCAGCGGGCACACTGATGTGGTTTGCTCACTCTTGTACTCACTGGACGGGACTCGCATTGTCTCAGGTTCAAGGGATAGAACTATCCGGCTGTGGGATGCAGCGACGGGGCAGCCATTGGGTGAGCCCTTACTGGGGCACACTGGCTGGGTGTGGTCAGTCTTGTTCTTGCCGGACAGGACTTGCATTGTCTCTGGTTCGGGGGATAGAACTGTCCGGCTGTGGGATGCAGCAATGGGGCAGCCATTGGGCGAGCCCTTGCGAGGGCACACTGAATCAGTTCTGTCAGTCTTGTTCTCGCCGGATGGGACTCGCATTGTCTCTGGTTCGGAGGATAGAACTGTCCGGCTGTGGGATGCAGCAACAGGGCAGCCATTAGGTGAGCCCTTGCGGGGCACACTGATTCAGTTTCATCAGTCTTGTTCTCGCCGGATTGCACTCGCATCACATCTGGTTCTCAGGATCGCACTGTCCGGCTGTGGGATACAGCTATGGGACAGCCATTGGGCGAGCCCTTGTGGGGTCACACTGATTCAGTTTTGTCAGTTTCATTCTCGCCAGATGAGACTTGCTTCGCGTCTGGTTCTGCTGATCACACCATCTGGCTGTGGGATGCAGTCACTGGGCTGCCATTGGGTGAGCCCTTGCAGGGGCACACTGGTTCAGTTTTGTCAGTATCATTCTCACCGGATGGCACTCGTACCATGTCCGGTTCCTGGGATAACACTGTGATCATGTGGGATGCAGTGATGGGACAACCATTGGGTAAGCCCTTGCGGGGGCACACTGGTCTGGTTTCATCAGTCTCGTTCTCACCAAATGGTATCCGCATTGTCTCTAGTTCCCGGGATCACACCATCCGGCTGTGGGATGTAGTGATGACACAGCCACCCCAGGAGTACACCAAGACAAATCCCTCTGCATCCTCTCTGGAAAGAAGTCACACTGCACCGAGCACACAGGAGCACCCTGACCTGTCCATGAATACTTCGAACAATCATGTCATTCGCTTCTCATCTAGCTTAAAACATGCATTGCACAACCCTGCCGAACTACTCGAGGGCGCCTCTCATCATCCTTCCCGTTCAATGCCTTTCGTCCTGGGAGATGATGGGTGGATGGTGGGACCCAATTCTCAGCTCCTATTCTGGGTACCTCCCGCTTCCTGAGAGCCATTTTATAATCCGTGGACTGCATTGGTGATCCCGAGAGGAAGTGTTGAGCTTGATTTGAGCCGCATGGCACATGGACAATACTGGCATAATTGCCGAAATGCGTGAGTTTCTAGCCTGTATACTATCCCTCACGGTTGCTAAATCAATGTGTCTAGGCCTACTTGACAATGATCTTATTGCAGCAGTTGATTCGTGGATGTCAGATAGACATTGATAAACCATGACATCCAAGTCGAGTGTAAACTTTCATTCATCGCCAAGATGATTTACTGTCAGCAATCAAGCTATGTCACACTCTGTTTCAGACACTTTGCTATCCTTCAATTGAAACCATCGGCATCGAGATAGTTCGAGCATATTACAGCTCTGGTTTTTCATGTGATGCGCCAGCATGACCCAATGTGCACTTATGCAGAATTGTCTTCAGCGTTGCAAATCTAATATTCTCCCCCTCACAATACGCTGTGGGTTTCGGTTGCTACTGCATTATCAGCATGACTGCGGCCGATTCAAGTGCGTTCGACCCTATAGGGGAAGCAGTGCAATGCAAACCACCAACAACAAGTTGTATTGTCCGACCTAATAGTCAATGCCAATGCCGACTTGGCTGATTGAAGTTGAGCAAAGAGAGAGCGAAGTGGAGCGGTCCTGAGTGATAAATGAGTGAAATAGAGGAGGTGTGTGTGTAGTACAATGAGCGAACGTTTAAGAGAGTCGGCCGACGACTCAATGAGAAATCACACAAGAAATCGTTCCAAGTGAGAATTTGCTAGAGAAACTACTAAGAACATGGGCGGAATATATAGTAAATGAGACTAAGCAATGAAGGGGAACTTCGGGTCACTTAAGATGCCTCATGGATTGCTAAATACTTGTTTCTCTGTGTCCATGTAATAAGGTGTGAGGTGGGGCAATAAAAAGCCAATAAGCAGTCTGATTATGCGAATGGGGATGGAAAGCGATGAAAGTAAGCGATATACGTACCAGTAGACAACGGGCCAATGACATGAGACAATGGATAGTGACCGATCGCATGTGCAGACAATGTCCGACTTGGATCGAGTGCAACCAACTGGGCCGATCGTCGGCCGACGTTGATGTGGAGCGGCAGCACGGGAAAGTGGGTCGGAGAGGATCGGAAAGATAGGGGATACTAGCTCAGTAGTGATCGGCTTCCTACAATGTGATAGTAAATAAAGGAGCAATATGTCTTAGGTGGGTGAGTATTGACAGGTAGGCGGGTATTGTTGCCTCCGTCTATCAATACAGATCGAACCATTGTTTTTCTAGCATGAGGACTACAAGGAAAGGTAGTGGCTTGGCTTGGGGGCCTCACTCACTATATATCGATATCTCTTGTTGTTGTAGAGAAACAAATTGGAAGTTGTAGGCATTTTGTGGCACGCACACAGGAAATACCGCCAGAGCCAACATCTTTGCAAGGTTACTACAATGTGAAGAATGATAAGAAAATGAAAACATTCATAGTAGCCTACATAAAGTATAATACAGGCAAGGCCACTAATCCGATCCAGTGGAGTACTTTCATTCATAAATCAGTCCTTCTTTGTAACACGTGTCATCCATGCCGTCCAACACACTAACACGAACACCAGCCCGCCAGTGACGCCGAAAGTGACATTGAAAGTAAATTGCCTTACTGGTGTCTGTGAGCGATATACCATGCATGCAAAAGCGACGACAAAGAACACCATACTGGAAGTAATCAGTCAGTTGCACCTGGAGCTGAACACCAATCACAGCTGACCTCCAGATCAGAAGTGTGTAGGGAAGACTGTATATGATAGCTAGCGCCTCCGTTCCAAATATTGGATGCGATATTCTTTCCAGGAGTTCTTTCTGGAAGATTAATGAGAGATGAAATGAGTAGGATAAGAACTGGACCATCACCACCCCAATGCTGACCACCATTGAGATACAGCTGAACAGTTTTGCCAGTGGTGCATCACTAACAAGTGCAAGCAAAGCAATGTTTGCATTGAGCATCACGGTCGCCTGATGGGATCTTAGGACCATGATAGTGATAATAGCACGAATAAATGCACGGTTATTGCTAGAGCAGACCAATCATCTTGCAACCTAGCTGTAAACTGCTTCCAGAGTGTGCGGTTGATCAATTTGTCCACATAGATATCATCCAGCTCTTTCGTGTAGTTCCATGGAGCATAGAACAGACAGAGGAATGATATCTGGATGAGCAGCGAATGCTGTTGCTTCTGTTCCCAAAAGATCCACTGGTCAGAGTTTAGTTGTGCACCGGGCTGCCTGCAAAATTAAAGAATTTGACCAATGCTGCCAAGTTGGTGAGATAACGCTAGGAGAGAAAGTCTGTAGCATACCAAAATTCTCCATGAACCATGCTGCAATATAATGTGGGTAAACGTAGAGTGAAAAGACGTAAAGTTCATTTACCTACAATGCACTTCGCATGCGGGAACCATTTGTCGATTGCATCTAATTGGGCCGCATCAGGATCACCTACATACAAATATGGCTTCATACAACCCACTAACATTTGAGGCATGCCATGAGATCCAGCATTTTTGTAAGTTCTTCCTGATTGAATGGAATGACTGATGTGGTCAAAGCAATGTTATCTGCACCGAAGTTACGAGAGATGCTAATGGAAAGGCACACTCGCTACCCACCAGGCATGGCGTGCAGGATCATTTGTTCAAGCTCTGTCAAGACATCATCGGTTATGGACCAATTGTTGGGGAAAAGCATGCAGTGCTTCCTAGGTTGCGTCAGTAGCAATGAAGGATCAAATCTGCTGCCTGCATATAGAGGTGGCATCAGAAAGGGTAGCAAAAAAGGAGTGTCGACATACCACTGTACATCAAGCTCGACTCACCAGTATTCAGCCTCCATGACATATTCTGTGGAGCAGTCAGCATGGCTGCTGATAAATTGATACTAGCTCCTACTAATGTGAGATGCCTGCACTCTCTTCAGATGTCTCGTTATTTGCTTGCTCAAGATGTCTATCAACCAAAGAATGCAGTGTTTGTGGGGTTCCACAAAATAGTATCCGCAAGCCTTTTCGCCATTCATATCAAGCAAATCCATCTCAAGCACAAGCTCATAAGTGGCCCACTGGAAATCCAACCATCTGTTGTGCTTGTCCAAGCAGTTGTTTTGCGCAATAACCTATAATGTCACGTTCCATTGGGAGTGAAAGATCGGTGTCCGTGTATATTTGCTGTCATATTGCTCAGTGTCGCTTGCACTACAACAAGTAAAAGGTCTCCACAAACGTGTGTTGCATCGAAAAAATATAACACACCATCTGGGTGGACGTGCAGCTTCCAATCCCCATATTGCTGTTGACTACAGAGAGGTTAGCAGTGATCATGTATGAGGATATCTCACGCACTTGTCAAAATCATTCCTTACAGCTTGTATCATTATTGACTCGTGGTTTGGTCTGCACCAACTCAGTTCACGAAGGGCCAAGTCTGAATCAAAGCAATTGCAATACACATGATCCTCTTCCTGTTGTTTCTCTTGACGTCCAAGGCTGTGATAGGGATTATAGTAGGAGGTTGTTGACAAGAATGTCTCGACATCATGCGAGATAGATCCAGAATTGAAGAAGAGCTATATGGGCAATTTGCATGTAGTCGATTTTGGTACTAGTGGCAAACAGTATTCTGGTAGTTACAGTGTGTTGCATATCAAACTGCAGTACAAGTTTTTCAAAATTTGGGCTCGCTACCTTTACTGGTACTTTTACGTCCTAATTAGGTCTTGTGATTGTGACATCCAACATGTCTTGCAGCAGGTTTCGTTGAATGGCACATATGCAGTTTGGTTTGAGATCTAGTTGGTGAGGAGGTATTCCTGGATGGCTCAACATTGCGAGGTAGTCGGGGGTATGTTCTGGTGCGTTCAATGGAGTGTGTTCAGCTTCTTTCAGACTGTCTGAACTAAAATAGGATTCTATGTTGTGCTGTGAGTGGCACATGCTGTTGATGTCTGTTTGCGATACTTACGAAAGTCGCCTGGCAAATTGTCCAAAATTCTGTCTTTGAATTCATCGACGTAGACATTCAGAGGCAAAAGGAATGCGCGTTATCCGATACTAACGAACCTCAAAAAACAAAACAAAACAAAACAAAACAAAAAGTGACGTACATCATTGGCAAAGAGATGAAGAGAATGCGCAGATTTTCCATCATCATCAATGATAGGACCGATAGTAGTGCCGCAGGGCATCTTCAGCAGAAGTGGTGTTTGCACCAAATGTGAACACATAATGACACAGCATGACGTGGTGGACATCTGTGACGGCAGTCAAAGTTGATAAGACTTGATGTGTCAGCACAAGGAATAGAATAGAATGGAACAGAATAGAATCCTTATCGCAAAGTCACCAGATACCAGTCTGATTCAATTGGAAAAGAACTAAGGGATCTTTACAGTATGAGTAAGGTTCAAATACTAGTAGCATGTGAAGAGCCCGTGATAAAGAGAAATCAAATACTTCTAAGACACTCAAGTCATTCTAAGTCAGAACCATGAATGTCGGCTTAGGCACCTAGTTCTTGGCTTCGTCTATTCTTTCTGCCTAGATCTCTACCCTCGATCGTGACAATGCCACAACATCACTGGGCTTCAGCCAGCAGTTATTTGTGCTTTATTATATTAGAAAAAACGAAAGAGATATGTTTGCTCATATACCACCTATATGCATTATGAGCAGAGCATGATGCATGACATTTCTACCATGGTGCATGATTTTATATGTCGAAAGTCGATTTGTTATCGAATTTCTTTGGCATTTTTTCATCATGCATTATCATTATGAGAATGTCGACTGTACATCATCCGTAAATTACCAACTGCAATATTAAATAATATTAATCATTGATGTTGTCTCTCTTCCTTTGTTGCCAGATTCGCAACACTCATCTAGTGGTAACCTACAACTTGTCCTTGCCGTCCCACTCTTCCTCTTTCTACTACACTCCTCGTCACAGTCGCATACTCATATACTTATCCCATTTGGTCCAGTACATCACTAGGGACCCAATTCTTGGCCCCTATTTTGGGTATCTCCCATTTCCCGAGAGCCATTCAATCATAATCCTTGGACGACATTTCTGATCTCCATAGGAGGTGTTGAGCTTGATGTTTGGTGGGCCCTTAACCGCTTTGTGCTTGTTAATGTTCTAAGTGTGGTAGGTTTCATAGAACGCATGTACATGTGATACTGGGGATACTGTAGTATTTCACTCGATTCATCTGTCACGTCACAAGCCATTCTGCCGGGTCGAAATTTGATGCTTGTCATGGGTCACATCAAGGATTGACAAATACCTATGAAGTGTCACAGATGGCAGAAAATTCTACTGCTCTGTCTTGCTGTCGTGATGTTGCCAAAATGAGCATCAGTACAATGTGTTTGCCTTTCGCCTCCTCTTTCCACACCCAAGTTCTTCTTTGACTGCCAGCCCAACCTCTTTGCCACCCTCAAACTCCATTGCTTCGACCTCTCCACATGCAGTTAGACTGCCATCCTCTGTGCTCGCAATTCCGTGGACAGTTTCGACTCCAGAACCCATAAGCTCCACTACAAGAGCACCACACGACAGGCTGCTGTCATCATTGATGCACTGATCCAATGTTTGCACTGCTGCATCATCTTTGGGTAGTGCTGCTTGTTCGGCTGCAAGTGCGCGCTCACGACTCTCTGTGAGTTCTGCCCAAAACTCGTTAGGCTTGCATATGACAGGTTAAACCCACAAACACGGCACATTTCAAAAGCCTAGAACCATCAGGTTAGTGTCCGTAAGATATTTTTGTACCAAAACAGCACACCTTTCTGATGATTTCGGGCATGTTCACAGCATTGTAACCATCCCAAATCCATTTTACACTGAGATCGTGCAAGACAGCCTTTCGCTTGTCGAACAAGATATTTTCGGTGCCATTGTCAATCTGTTGTGATATGGATCTGACAATATCTTCATGGTAGGACCACTTCAATGAGTGCTTGAAAATGCGCTGGACACCAACGTCGCAAGGCTGCATGACACCTGTGCCACATAATGCAGTGACATATTCCCTTACTTATAGGACAGCCCATGTTGACATTTCTCCATAAGAGTCGGGCCAACCCACCATGGGCCCACATTACTATGTACCCTTACTTAAGGGATGGGCCCACATGTGAGATTATCACTGCATATACCGGGTGGGCCTGGTGGTAGTTAATACCTGTGGCTCAGGGGTGGGCCTGCACTATACACTTTGTGGAACCCAATAATATAATGGATAGTAGTGTTATGGTATATGCTATCACTGTTGAATGTTACCCAAGGGTGAGGGGTGGGCCCATGAACTTGCTGACACCTAAACATATCTGCGGCATGGCCGACATGGTATATACCCATTTCTATATGAACATATCTGAGTCAGTATATTGATATAAATGACCGCCGAAAAATCTAAAATCACTGGGATGGGACAACTGTTGACGGTGATGGCTGTCATTCCTGGATCGCCGACAGCAGAATTGTTGGGATGGGACAATCGACGATGGGTGCCGACAGCAAAATTGCCGGGGTGGGACAATCACCGATGGGTGCCAAATCCCCCAATTGATCACTGTCCATACTGGGACCGCCGAGAGTATTTATGACCAGCCATTCCGGTCACCAACAGCATGTTGCAGTGGCAAATATTTGCGGGTGGCAATGAGTTAGGAGAGTGGTCTTTCTGGGCATATCCCACATGCAGTCAAAGCCGGCAACCTTCAGTAATCTGTATGTATCGGCAACTATTGGTTTGCTAGGGACATCTGTTATATATGCATTTAAATGTTAGAACCTCTCAAGTCCTGATTTCGGTGCCGCTGACTATTGAGTTGTACCATGAGTAGTCAGCTCGGGGCATATCTACAAACTCATGTACATCATCCCTCATATACCACACCCAGGCTATTCAGGCCGGTGTCCATATCCACCCCATGCCTGATAATTCTCCCTGAACCAACAGCCATGGCGCCTGGACCATAGACAATTTCAATCCCTATATTCGGCATCTTCATCCTTGCCGCTCCATAATTGCCGACGCTAGTCATGACATTGAACCATTGGGGACGGGACTAAGGATCCCGGTGCAAGGGTGAGCGCTGGTTGCATACAATGGCGACAGCTGTGAATACAGATGCCCACTCTCTGAGGCGAGCACCCATTTCATCCAATTTCTTTTCTGCTGCCCTGAGGCCAAGGGCCAGCTGTGTTGCTAATGATGCCCTGATAGAGGTCAGGGTGCATGACTCTCAAGGCGGCAGCAATGAGAGCCGCCAGGTCTCTGCATTGCCTGACAAAGACCTTCCATCTATTTAAGAGTCGCCGAGACCTGTGGGATGAAACTTAGGAGCCTGGGATGAATGAGCATTGCCGAGGCAAGCTGTCAGGATGTGAACCGAACTTACCGGATGGGTTTGCGAAAATCATGCCAGAGACAGGTTAATGCACCCCGGGGTGAGTCTGTGCTCACTGGGCTCAGTTGGATTCGTGGGTCCTCCATTTACCGCCTGGTCTCTGCACCACGTGACACTTGTAGCCAGCAGGGCTGACATATTCGCAGTCGCCGCCGCCATGTCATTCTAAGATTTGTCAAAACAATCATTGGCAGCGACAGGGGCAACTGACCTGTATGTCTATATCGATAGCTCCAGGGGAGATACCAGAGGATGATGACACCAAACTTATCACAAACAACTGCAGGCCGATCAAGGAGGATTTGACGGTCCGGCAGATATCAGGAATGGAGGTTTTCTTCATGATCGGGTTTTGTGCCTGTTCTCCATCATCTGCAATGCATCTGCATCCCTGGCAACATCGAATTTTATTGTAACTAATGCTGGTATATAGCATGGATGAACATCAAATGATACACTAAGAAAAATGTACAATGTAATGAAAATAAATGTCTAGTTCTGGGGGCCCCTGCCCAATGCCGACTTGCCAAAGGCACTGTGCACCTGCGCGAGAACTGCCAGCAATCTGATTGTGAGATCGACTGGCAGAGAGACCGCCAGCTCCATTCCAGCCAGAACCACCGGTGACATTGCCTACTGATGGGCCTCCCATGGCAGAAGCACCTGCAGGCAAGTTGAAGTATAAGCCCTCCATCAGCTTGCATTTGGCCCATGCTGACTGGCATCATACTATGATTGCCACTGTACTGTGGGTTGGCATGATAGATTGGGCCAGGAAAGGGGGGAGATAGTGACTGGTTTTGACTGAGTACACAATGGCGAAGAGCGTTGTAGGCAGTCCTGAAGGATGGCGGTGGCTTGTTCTTGCCGGGCCAATTGCGCCTGAGCCTGCCGGACTGTCTCATCGCGGGTCACCGACTCCTGTTGCATGACCTTCATTTGATTTTGAACTGCCTCCATGTTGGCGCGTACATCTTGCAGTGCACAGATGTCGGCATCTTGAGCAGCGAGCCAGTCGTTCAATGCATTCATGTTGGCGCGTACATCTTGCAGTGCACAGGATGTTGGCATCTTGAGCGGCGAGCCGGTCGTTCAATGCATTCAATAGGTCGGCAGTGGCGGTCTGCTGAGCTTGCAGTTTGACAAGTTCAGCCCGGGCACCATCAGGCGGCGTGCTGGAGGCTCAGCCGCTTTGAAAGCGGTGCGGCATTGTCATTCATCACCAATGTCATTGCCCTCAAGTCATTGACCATGGCATCTCCCTCAGAATCCACCTCCATTGAATGCTGGAGGGAGGGAACAACTGACTCCCTGGGAGGATCAAGTGTGGGGGGCGAGGATGACTTGGCAGGATCTGAGGAGCGACTATCGGGCGATAAAGTCGCAATCGGCTGGCACAGAATATATGGGTGCATGGGGCGCTGCAGCATCACCTTCCATAAGGATATCTGGAATTGTCAGTGGCATGCATACAAAGGCAGAGAATGATATTACCTTCTGTAGGGGGACGGCGGCTGTGAATTCAAATGTGGCCAGCTAGGCTTACCCTTCGGCACCGGGGCGGTCTCAATCTTGGAGCGGGAACACTTAAGCTTCAGCCTTGAGCACCAGGCACAGGCTTTGAGTCCGGCGCCGGCAGCACCATATCCCTGACGACAAATAAAGGATCTGGAACATGGAAACTCAGCGGATGACATCCAGTAATCAATCGGGAACTACATACAATTTGATGCATTGGTCACATCGCGGCACCAACTCCGGAGCATCCATGGTCTACGGTGCCTGGGTTGAGATCGACCAGAATCAGAAAACTCGGCACTTACAGCGCCAGAATCATCCTGTAGCCCAACGGCCGGTGACGGCAATGGCACCTTCGCGACCTTTTGCTTCTTCAAGGTTGTTGCCTGTTGGGTGATAATCAACATGAACTTCATCTATTGAGCAAATAATTGGACACACCGGCGGTGGGGCTGGAATTCTCAGATGATGATTCACGGTCACCAGGCAGCGCCGGTGGTCGACTGGAACTGGAGTCCCTTCTCCTCTTCTCAATGGCCAGAGTACGGCCTCGTCCCTGAACGTCTTCCACATCTTCTGGCGGCGGCACCACTTCCTTACCCTTACCCTTGTCTACTTTACCCTTCGCCAGCTTCTTCTTCAACGCCGGCTTGGGCTTTGGCCTTGATGGGCCCGGTGCTGGCGTCGACTTTGTGACCCCGGCGGTGGATGTTGATGGCACCGGCCTGGATACAAAGAGGGTGCGGGCCTTGTCTTTCAATGGATGCTGCTGGACCTGGGGATCATCGGCGGTGATGTTCTTCCACATCGGCGCACTAACAAAACATTGCCGAGTGCGGTCCAGGTGTTCTAGCATATCCATGGCTGCTGAGAGCAGGACCGGGGGGACCACAGTGGCCGAAATGCCATAGGTTTCAAAAACATGGGACTACTAGAAATCAGTATATCACCTGGTGCTAATAGGGAAATACCCACCAAGATATCCCCCACCTGCATAGCCAACCGAAGGTGTTCGGGGTTACTGTCCTGCAACGTCACCGCACCTGCCAGTATTTGAATGACCTGAGCGGCAGCATCGATGAAAGCCTTGTTGGATGTCTCAGCAGAGGGCATGATGGGAGGAGGGATAAACTTGAAAGATGGGCGATGGGCTGATGAAAGGACTGGTAATATGCCAGTAGGAAGCAATGAAATTTTAAAATGAGCGGTTCTCGGCACGGCAGGCAACTCCATGCGGCAATGTCTCAATTGAACAGAACCTGTTTTGAAATCATGTGTCCAACTTCTGGCACCAACATGCTTTGTTTGGGTTGCTAAATTTAAAGTTCCGCGAACTTCCAGTCCACAAAATCAGATATTTAACACTGGCCGAATCCATCTGTTGTCACTTCATTTTTCATCCTTAAACTTTATTGAGAACTGCCATGTCGCCACCAGTGCAACGCCAAGTCCGATTCGATATTCCAATGGATACCAATGAGGAATCTCAATACAATGGTGAATCTAGATCACCGACATCCAATGCTGCCGTGGGTAACACAGGTAAGTCTTGTCGCAGTCAGCCCATCTCATCTTACCAGACTTCAGCATTCTATTTTGGCTTTGGTGCGCCACCGCCACCCGCCGAGGTTTAACTTCGGCATGGACATCCCCATGTCGGCGGTGGAATCTGCATCTCCCACAATGCAGCAGCCATTGAATGTGGGATTTCAACTTCCCATCCAAGCGAAAACTCCACCGCCGTCCTCCACTCACCAGCCATTCAATTTGGGGTTTCAGCTCCCACCTCCCTCCACCCCGGCCCAAGCAGCACTACCTGCCGGCCCAGTCCAACAGCCGTTTAATTTGGGCTTTCAGCTCACCGCTTCCTCCACCCCGCCCCAAGCAGAACTACCTGCCGGCCCAGTCAACAAGCCATTTAATTTGGGCTTTCAGCTCACCCCTTCCCCCACCTCGCCCCAAGCAGAACTACCTGCCGGCCCAGTCAACAAGCCGTTTAATTTGGGCTTTCAACTCACCCCTTCCCCCACCCCGCCCCAAGCAGAACTACCTGCCAGCCCAGTCCAACAGCCATTTAACCTTGGCTTCCAACTCCCCATCCCCATCAACCACACACCAGTGGCAGCAAACGCTGCTCCAGCATTTAACTTGGGGTTCGATCTCCCCGTCCCGGCGACCCAGACACCAGAGGAAGAATCTGCTGCCATGGTGCCGGCAGTACAAACCGCAGTCCGGCGTGTGGGCTATGCCACCAACAACAGACGTAAGTTCGCTTCACATATATTAATCAATTCTGACCCTCCAGCAGCGTTCCAGTTCAACTGTGAGCCTCTCTCACCCATAGGAGATTGGAATCCGGTGCTAATCTGAGCACCATTGCTGATTCACGCCGATGGCCCATCTGCTACCATGCAGCCGGCACCTGTTGCACTGCCTGTGAGGCCAACATTAGCATCTTTAGTTGGCGATGCCGAGCAAGCGGCGATCGACATTGTCAGACACCTCCAAGGAGAGGAATGTAAGCCACATCTCTGCATAGTTGTATAAAGAGTTTAACTCATCTTAACCAGTTGATCAAGTGGTGGTGATGATGGTCGGTGGGTCCTTAGGTGTCAGCGAGAGCATCCAGGACCCTAAGCCCAATGAGGTCTTGGACAGCAACCGGATTCTGATGTCGGCGTTCTGCAAAAACCAAGACAGGCTGACCAGGATCTTCAAAGACATGATTAGCTTGCATCATATGGCACAGGTCCAGGATCAGGTTGCCCCAATGGTGACCGCCCTATTGGCTGAGGTGGAGAGAGCAGAGGAATTGATTTCCGACTCTGATGAGTAGACAGATACCATCTCAATTTGTTAAATGTATCCTGTACTATATCACTGGTTCACTGGTGACTCAATTTAAATGTACTATATTACCATACCCACATGGATCAGTGAAATGATCGGCGGCAGCACCTAAAATCCCATTTTAAACAAGCAGGTAATAGATGCCGGAGGTACTGGTATTGACAGGCATCTAGTGCAATTATGGAGCTGGCATAGGATGGTATTTCGATTGTAGCTCATATACATGATCATTATGATAGGCGGCAATGATCACTTCCTACTCCATTTGGCCTTTGGAGCTTCAGCAACCACTGCCTTGCTCCTGGTTCTCCTAGCCGGCATGTCACTGATAGGAGCAGCGGTACGGCGTTTTGATGCCTTGGTTGGTGGCTCATTCTCAGCGGCGGCACGGCGTTTTGATGCCTTGGCCGGCGGCTCATTCTCCACATTGGAACGAAGACCTTGCCTTGTGGTGTGTGGACCTGATTTTGCCGGTTCATGCGCTGTGTTGAGTGGAACTTTGATATTGCTGGTCACCTTTGACCTGACTGGAGGTGTTGCCTTGGCATATCCGCCGGTGGAATCATTGATTTGAGGCGCAAGGTTATCAGATGCCAAGTCATCGCCGGGGCCGTCACTGGATACCGGCGGCAGGCCTCTCTGAGTTACCTTTGGAAGGAATGATTCATCCCTGTCATTGGCAGACATTGAAGCCTCCTGATCTTCATTCGGCAGATGACTGATGCTCCTCTTCCACTTCTTCCTCATCACTGCTTTGCTCATGGTGTGTTGAGGCACATTTGCGCTTACCGGTGCTCTGGCCATGCCGAGTAGCTCGCCAGCACTGCCTTGTGGAAAGATTTTGTGCGTGTCTCCATCTCGCCGTCGGTGTCTTTCCAAGCTTTGAAACAGAAGGTTGGGCGAAGCTTCTTTTCCTGTCGGTGATGCCAGAAATACAACAGAGCGGTGGCGTCTGCTTTGTCCATCTTTGAAGGTTCCACCAACTGCACGTCGGCGGGCCAGTAGGTGTCATCAAAGAAATCTGATTGGCTCTTCACCAAGTCACCCCATGGCACTGCCGCCGCTGCTTTGTCTTTTCCCATGCACATCCCTGTTGAAATCAATACGCGGCGGCATACCAAAGGAGACTTAAACTGACTGTAGTGCCTAGTGAGGAATGACCAAATGATATGCTGTTGATCGCCGCGTTTCCAGCCTGTGGTGTCAAGGAGCATTGGCCACCCATCATCGTCCTCCTCCAGTTCGAGGAGTTTTCGTGGCACACGTTTCTTGGTCGTCACCACCTGGGGGACATCTTCATCCTGGACGTCTGGATATTTGTTAATTAGAATGCCGCTTCATTCTCTTGAATTGGCATCTCACCAAATTGCTCGCCGGCATATTGCCGCCAGTCTGGCATGAAGTTCCCTTCCCAGTCCCTTGTCTTCAAAAAGCTTTCGCCGCCACCAAACTGCTCATTGAAGTCATGTCTTTAACAAGTTTAGATCTGGCTGACCGGCAGTAGAGTTCAAACAACACTCACACTCCTAACATTAGTTTGCCTTCCCGGTTCTGCCATGCCGACATCACGAAGATCCTCATTCCAGCCTGCTTGAACATCTCCGTTGCAAAATGCTCGATCATGTCGGCGCCTTTGGTTTCAGCGACATTGGCTTGGATGTCGGGCGGCGCAGCTTCATTGTTCCACTTCTCTGCCATCACTCTCACCTCTTCCTTCTCCTCTGCCGACAGACCGGCGAGCACAGTCTTTGTGGCCTCTGGCCACTTGGTGATCATCCCCTCACTCCCAGGAGTTTCTCCAGTCTCCTCTCATATCTGGGCTTTGTTCTGCTCAATCAACACCCGGTGAGCCGTCCATTTCTTGCCATACTTGATGAGAGGCTTTGGAGCCTTCCGGCGACACTGGTTGTAGAGCCATTCCTTGTAGGTCTGTTGTCCGAAATAAATAGCTAGAGCATGTATATATGTACACTGGCACATACCTTTTTCTGGCTTTTGAGCATGGCTTTGTCACGAGTGGGAGCTTGGAGGCAAGCTTCCCTGTGGATGGCATTCAATACATTCTGTCTCTGTTTACCTTTCACAGTCCTCCAGTCCTCGAGGTGGGTCTTGAGGACCGCAATTTCCACCTTGATCAAGGGAAGCTTTGTCTGCTGGGGGACAATGACAGGGGATTCACTCCGAGCCATTTTGTGAGATGGTTGATGGTCTGAATGGTGGGATATTGAAAATTGTAGGTTCCCATGACCCTTACTTGGATCCCTCGGTTCCTATGACATTTCATCTTATGTACATATAGCTACATGATAACTGTCAACACAATGCATCAGCCTGCTATTCACATACCATTGGCTTTAGCACATGAGGGGCTCTAAAGTGCAGGAGTGGACTCCTACCAGCAATATTCATCTGGTGGAATGGAAGAAAACAGTTCGGACCAGGAAAGCAACAGGGAAATGGGTAGAGAGACCCAAGATTCGAAAAATTCAATCAGTTCCGGCCACCCCTACCAAGTCATCATCAAAGCAGTGGCCATCCGAGGATATGCTATTTCTCGGTGGAGATGATTGGGTCAGCGACCTCAACCAGCAGGATTTCATACCCCTGCTGCTACCAACATTCATGGTAAGCACTGCCCGGCAGCCATAGGATCTTGTTCTGTCCCTCACTCAGCTTGTTTCAAGAGTCAGAATGACTATCTTCGGCAATGGGTCCCAAGGACCAATAGATATCTCAGCATACTCCTTGAGCGAGAAGCTCCTGCTGACCGGTCTTGCATCATTTGCGGGTCTGATGGTGTCTACAAATGTCACAACTGCTTCGGTGAGCCTCTATTTTGCACAAATTGTTGCAGGACGGAGCACCAGAGGCTGCCCTTCCATCGGATCAGTCAATGGACCGGTGGTTTCTTCAAGGACTGTTGCCTGGTGAAGACTGGTCTAGTGATTTCACTCGGGCACGGCGGAAATCCTTGCCCATGCCAAGACTACGGGGTCGATGATGCTGATGAAGGATTTTTTGCTGCCACCAACACCAACACCAACACTGACACCGACACCGACACCGACACCGAGCATGCGACGACACCAACTGCCAATGCGTCAAAGAACAATCACGATCTGCCTACTGGAGTGCCATTCATAAAGAATGACAAGACCATGACGACAATAGTGGACAAGTCTGGAGTACACACTCACATCATCAAGTATTGCATGTGTGCCGATGCTCCAAGCGCCGACCTACAGCTGTTTCGATTAGGCTTGTTTCCTGCATCCTTTACCCAACCAAAGACCACTTTCACTTTTGATGTATTGGACGACTTCTTACTGGATAATTTGGAGTGCGACACGTCAGTGATGAATTATTACAGTAAGTTGAGGAGGATGACAACCAATGTTTTTCCGCATTTGGTGCCGGTGAGAGCATTCATCCATCAGCAGCCTTGTAAAGTTAACAATTCGGCAGGACCGCTACCGGGAGCTCATGAGGGTGGCCAGGCAGTGGCGGCAACTGAAGCTGTTGAAATGGAACAGCTTCGGCCACGAGGAAAAAGACGTTGAACCCGGCGATCTTGCTCTCTTCTGCCCGGCATGTCCCCAGCCGGGAATTAATGTGACATTGCCGACTGAAGAAGGCACAGCAGAGATCAACAGAGAATCAGATCTGGAGATGCCGAGTTGGCTCTATTCAAGATCGCTGGTCATGGATGGCAACTTCAAAGCAGAGCATATGCATGCGGCGAATCCCATTGATGAAGTCCCCCTCATGGATGGATGCAGTTTCATGGTCGGCGATGGCAAATACAAGGCGCATCTGGCACTGGCAAAGGACACCATTCAACAGTCCGAGTGCAACAATCACCGCGCAGTGAATCAAGCCAATGCATCCCGTCACAGACTGGAGGCAACCGGCATTGGCGGATGTGCCTGTGCAAGGCATGGCTGCTTCGTCCCGCATGCAATGGTGGATTTTCAGAAGGGAGAAAGGTACGCAATTAGTGTATCTATGGCTTGAGAGCCTCGCCGATGCTCACCAGGCAGATGAACATGGACTATGCTTTGTGCGAGGCATTGAAACACAATGCCGGCGGCATCCGGCGCACACTGACATTTTATGATGTTAATTGCCAGTACAATAAGTATCTAAAGGATCGGGTAGCTGACAGCCCCTATTTGCAAATTCAAGAGCAGATGGAGATAATCCCGGGGATAGGTCTATGGCATGTTCATGGCCACCAAGACAGCTGCTATGTTCACTATGCTTCTAACTTTATCGCCGGCGCCACCAGAATTGATGGCGAGATCATGGAGACCCTTTGGGCGCCGTTGAACATAATCTCTCCTTCGGCACGGGGGATGGGGACCCCTCACCGCAAGGAGTGCCTGGATTACCAAATGAATGATTGCAATTTCATGAAAATGATCAGGATGAGTGGGTGCTCCGTTGGTCCTCAATCAATTTGCTCACCGGATCATGCAGGCAAGGCCCTTTGCCGGAAATTCAGGCAAGCTGTGAAAGGGCTCGCCGACAGTAGGGAAGCCTTTGAAAAGCTGGATCAGAGTGCCGACGAAAACAATGTCAGGGACTGGGGGGAACAGGAGAGGCTGGCACAGGAACGGCGTAGCACTGATCCAAAGGCAATGGACATTTATGAAGTCCAACTGCAGAAAGGTATGAGCCAATGATATCGCCAAAATCAAGGCTGACGGCAAGATAGCTCCGACCAGGAAAGAACAGGAATTGAGGTTGCTGGAGGAAAATGGCCAGCAACCTGCTCCTGCCCGCCGGAGGGGAGTGGCAACATGGCTGGCAGAAGGGCTTTCCATTGAGGAGGCACAGGTGACTCTCCACATGGACGTTAGGAGGCTAGGGCGGCATCCGACAGAGAACCAATGACTGGAGATCGGGCGGCGTTGTGAGAGACTGCAAGGAGACATTGACCGTTGGTCGGCGACATTCATCGGCGATGGGTTTGGCAATGCCGACCTCCACATGATGGAGCACAAGCTGCTGATCCTTCAAGAAGACTCAGATGATGAAACAGCTGATGAATTCAGACTATTTGAGCCAGAAAAGGTTGTAATACCATTGCTGTCCAATTTGGGCCAGGGGAGATGCGCTGAGCTCGGCGCCGTGGATATGATCCATCAAGAACATGTCCTCCGCGAAGGACAGGCCAATAATGCCTTGCACAACATCAGAGTGCACTTGGCAGACAAGGTGGTCATCTTCCAAAAGACAGTCAGAATGGCAAAGTCGCAAGCAAAGTCCACCAGAGCTTGGGCCCAGATCCATGCAGTGGACCGGGCGGTAAGCATCAACACAAGCGTCTATTCCAAGTGCCTGTCTCAACTCAGCAAACTCGGCACTGCTGACATTTTGCTGAACAGATACCGGCCATTGCTTAAAGAACATCTCCAGGTCAGCACCGCCGTCGCCGATCCCAATGCCAGAGGCCAGAGAAACTCCATGTTGGCTTGGTTCTGGTCTATGGATGTGGAGGGAGACTCTGATAGCAGTGATTGGTTGAATGAATGTGAGGTCTTCACATGTCCTTCGCCGGGCACTGCTGATCCTGCCGACAATCTTCAGTTTACCAGGTGCATTGGCTCCGTGCCAAGGCTCTAAGAGACAGGTGGGAGGAGGAAATGCTACTTGTGCAGCATGAAATGAATTGGACATACAACTTCTTCTTGCACAAAGCCGAGCAATGGATCCTTCTGGCTACCATCTCAAAAGCCGCCGACAAGGTGGGACACCTTGCCTATGCGGCACGGCAGTGCAAAATGTATCAGCGCCTGTATGAGGATTCCCGGGATGCATTTGAAGTTGCAAAGGCAGCCTGGAACCCAATGCATATTATGCCGGCGGTCTTATAGTAGACTTCAGATTGATACTGCTGACATTCGTGTAGCAATAAATGATCAAATTCAAGTGGTTTCCGCCGGCATCAATCAATGGTTGAACACTGACTTTCTATAGTGTAGTCTAATGATCCTAGGGCTAATCTTGTATGTAAAGTTATTGTAGGTAATTTAATCTTGTTCCACTTTCAAATATTTCACTAGGAGTTCAGTGGCGGCGATGGCGTCGCGTACATCTTCACCCAATGTGGTCTCCATTCTCATCAAGGAGGCAGCTACAAGCCTTGCCTCCACTACCTTGTTCTCCAACATCGTGATGATGTGCGCCCTTCCTTGTGTGACCCCAGCTTGAATGGTGGCCAATTGCTGTGCCACCGGCATTGATCTTGCCTGCACCAATGTCGCCGGGGTTATCAACATGCGGCCTTCTGGCTAGATTGCACTGTAAGGCGGCGGCATAGTTGAAATGAGGATGACTTACCAATTGCTCAAAGTGGTCTGCAACCATCTGCACGACTTGCTTCCAACCAGGGTACCGGGACGTGAAAGTCCTGTAGTCTACCGCATCGAAAGCGGTGTTCCACCAGTCCATGGGATATATGTTGACAACCCAACCTGTGACCCAGGCGCCGGAGGGCTCCACTGGCAACTTCATAAAGTTGTCATAGAGCTCTCGGTAGGTCAGGAGCTCCATTGAGCTCATGCCGAGGATCCTGACGAACCATCGGAGGTTGCAGGACAAGGGAGGGCAGATGCTTAAGCCTTCACAATAAGCGACCCAAGGCAAGAAAAAAACCTGACCGGTGATTGATAAACTTAGATGGATGAAACAAGAATTTGAAGACTTACCTCGCCCTCCCACATGAGGTACTTGCTAATAATTAGGACCGTCGCCGATGACGGCATGGTGTTCTCCAGGGATCGGCGTATAGCCAGCAAGCGGGACCCAGCGAACTCAAATATGTTTGCCATGTCGGCAAGATCGAAAGTGGGACGCTCGCTGGTTGGACTTAAGCACTTGGTGGCACCGGTGATGTTGGACATGATTGGATATTTGGAATATGATGATTGGCGAATGGGAATTTATATTGTTTGCTGTAATCGGAACATACCGAAGTGAATTGCGGATCATGCTGAAATTGTGATTTGCAGATTTCCATTGTGCATTAGCCCAATATGGAAATTTATTGCATGTGTGACATAATCAGCCGCCACATTAGTTCACATTGGACTTGTATTTCTTCATCATCGCAGTTCATCGCCGCCCCTCATCTTAACACCATTACCACCATTATCACCATGACCACCGTAGTTAACTGGGCTGCTAACAAAGCCAATGCTGGTTTCCTCAATGCAGCCAACAAGGTTGAACATCTTCTGGGGCAGGCTCTCCAATTGAAGCCTGCCGATCCCAAACACATCGCAATTGCGATGGAGATGGTCGCATCTCTTGTAAGTCTTGTTACTTTTAAGTTTCAAATTCTCTAATCTTCATAGAGTTTTACCTTCAGCAGCTACGCCTATTCAGCAACCTCTGTGCCACCCATGGTGCTCTCTGCCACCGCAGAGATTCATGAGCACCTGGACGACTCCTCCTGCAATGTTGTCAGTGCCCCGGTCTGGTCCAACATTCGCCCAGACGATCCGCAGAGCCAGCATAGCCTGCTTTACCCCCTCACTCTTGCCTATGGCAAACCCCCACCACCCACCAATCCTCCTGTTGCCGGTCCATCTGGATCCAACACCGCAGTCACCCAGGATGCCAATGTCCTTGCAGGCAAGGGCAAAGGCAAGGCAAGGCAAGATCCTGAGGCTGAACCAACAGAACAGCGTGGCCGCGGTATGGAACGCAAGCAACTCCGGTGCATGAGCGCCCCCCGCAGTCAGAGTCACACGCCGAAGGCAAAATGGCCGTGTGCCACCTCCAAGGCCATGATCACCAGCAAGGACGAAAGGGAGTTGGACATGGCCAACATTCCCCAACAGCAACCGGCGCCGGAGGCCAGGAAGAAGGTAAGTATTCCTTATTGACTTTGTATGTGATTTAACCTCCCCAGCAGGCATCCTTGCCCACCAGACTTCCTCCTGCCCTCAAGAAGACCTGGTCGCAAAGCAAGTCATTCACCGTCACCAGCGACGATGAGGAGGATGCCAAGCCGACGCCCAAACCTCCACCGAAGAAGAAGAAGACGTATGTGGAGATTGACAATGAGATGACGGCGAACGTTGGCCCGGCGCCGAAGATGGGCATGCCATATGTTCAGGTTCCGGTAAGTGTTTCCTCCCATCTGGCATTCACCTTCTAATGATATGAAATGTAGCCCGCACCATCGGCTATTGCCGGCAATGACGCTGCTGATCCCAACACATGGTCGCCAGGTTGCAGCCCCTGCGTCCACCAAGGGCTTATATGCCTCCAAGGCTACAACAACTCCAGTGCGGCACTGACCGTATGTGAAGCCTGCCACCGCCTCAAGCATAAGTGCGGTGGTAACGGTTCCACCGTTCCTACCACCAAAGCGAAGAAACCGGCGGTGACCACAACTCGGCAGGGGCGTTCAAAATCTCGCCGCCGAGCATCACCGGTGCATGTCTCTCCAGAGACAGGTGAGTACTCAGTTTTATTTTTATTTTTATCTAAAACTAGATGATTCAGCCACTCCAGCAGCAGCATCTACATCTGGTGCACCTGCACTGGTTGTTGCTACCACCGCCGCTCCCACCACCGCTCCTGCCACTGCTGCTGCCCCCACCGCCGCCTCCACTCCTGATGGGCCAGCAGATGCATCTGTTGTTGCCCTGAAGGAGCAAATTGAGGTGTTACAATCCACTGTCGCCTCATTGGAGGCAAAGGCCAGCATCGGGGAGAAGCATCTCCTGGAAGCCAATCAGAGATTGGCCGACCAGGAGGCGACTTCAAAACTCCTCGCCGAGCAATTCGAAGAACTTTGCCGGCAGTTGCTCCCTCCCCCAGTCCCTGCATCTCCTGTCACGGCGTGCCTGCCAGTTATTATTGGCAACCTCAGCGGCAACAACAAGAATATTGGCGCAGCAGAAGATGGAGCTGAGCCCGTGTCTGGAGCTATTGCCGAGGCTGAAGAAGTAGCTGAGTCCGCATCTGGTGTTGTTGCCGGCCTTAGCGGCAACAACATGGATGTTGCAGAGGCTCCAGCCGAGTCTGCCCCCGCGTCTGGTATCAATGCCGGCCTCAGCGGCAACACCAATGATGTTGCAGAGGCTGAGTCTGCATCTATTGCATCTTCCGCTCAGGAGTGAAATGTGTATTGGACATACTTTGTATTACTTTACTTTGAATTGGACTCTGTACTATAGATACATGGCTTCAATAAGCCTGTTACATATGACCCTTATGATAATGACCCTTTATGACAATGACTTTTCTTTTTCCCCCTACATGTGTATGCTGGTCAGAAATCCGGTCCTCAATGAATACTTTTGCCTGATTGCATTTGCCACCGCTGGCATTGAATGATAATATGGACAGCTTTACCGGTGAAGGGCCCTCACGCCGGTAACCAGCTCACTAGTGGAATAGATATAGGTACCAGCAAGAGCGAGATACTTCTGCCAGGGAGATGTATGTACCGCCAGTGCTTGTTCTAACTGCAGTATTGCCTGTGGTGTTGCCGGTGACAGTGGTGTTGCCGGCAACTGAACATTGCGCCGGTGAGATACTGGTGGAATGGGAATGGAGGTGTTGGCGAGACATGACGCATCTGGTTATGTATCAACTTGTCGCATCAGCAACTTCAACATTGGCAACATCTAGACCCAGAATGCCTGAAGTGCCAGTGTTGCCGAGATGCAAAGCAGCACTTGGCACAGCTGAATGTATACTTGCCTGATGGGCCTAATGTTATGGCGCCGCCATTCATTCCTCAATTGTCGGTGGTCAATCCCCATATGCATTCCATCACTGGTAACACCTGCCGATGTTACTGGACCCTCGCCAACAATCATTCCCAATATATATTTGCCGATCCACCAGCCGATGCAGGTAGATCATCGCCAGCAATCATTCCCAATATTTATTCGTGTATCCTACTTCCCAGCACACACTCACTGATGTTATTGGACTATTGCCGTATATCATACATTCCCTGATACGTCTCCTAGGATCCCCTCACTGGAGCTAATGGGCCGCATTCCAAATGCCCATTTATCACCGACCCCATTTCCCGGCGTACTGCCGCCGATATATATCAATCCAGCTGATGCAAACAGACCATCGCCGGCAATCATTCCCAATATCTATACCAGCATCTTAATTCCTGGAATACAATCGCCGATGGTAATGGACCATTTGCCAGACCTCATACCTGACATCCATTCCCTGATACTACTTTCCAGGATCCCCTCGCCGAAGCTAATGGGCCGCATTCCAAATGCCCATTTTTTTTGCCGACCCCATTTCCCGGTGTGCTGCCGCCAATACTTATGGACCATGGGCCCACCTGACAGTCGTGAGGACTCAATTATGTAGGCCCACCCCTCAATACACATACATTAATTCTGATACCCATGGGCCCACTCCACAGCATCGAGCACATTCTACTATGGGCCCAGCCCTAACAGTCGGCGGTACTTATGGACCGTGGGCCCATCCGAGGGTGATGAGGACTCAATATTGTAGGCCCACCCCTCAATACACATCTATTAATGGGGATGGGCAAGACCCTGCCAACTTTAAACTCCGACCGTGATTTCCAATTCCTGCTCTATGGCTGGAATCGATGTCTAGCAGAAATATCGCATGGTAGTGTTTAACATTCATGTCGTAACAAAAAACCTTGGAAGCAAATGGACATTAAATATGATAATGCTTGTATTCTATGAGGAAAAACATGCAAGGTGTTGCTTTCGCAGTGATCCTATTTTCAAATGGGGTAGAATGCAGCTTTTTTCCTGATTTTTTTCAGAGAATACAAAGTTGGGATAAAAAAAAAGCCCCTCATACCAATTTGACCACAATAGTGTGACTGAATTGTCTGTGGCCATGCGATCTTTGAGCACATTAAATATGTGCTGATTAATTAAGATTAAGCGCGATGCGACGCGTTTTGACACGTCAAGCCAAGTACAATGGCCCTCATCGCACGGAGATATATTACAAGTGACCGTTATAATCCCTCGAAGAAACGATCTAGCAAACAAAAAGCTCACCTTATATCCCTAAACTCAAAGACGCACACAGAAAAGGAGAATAACCCAAATTTCGGCAACACCACTCCTAGACCTGTAACACAGACGCAAAATGAGCTCGCCGTGCAACAAGAGAAAGCCATTACTTACGAGAGGCGCTACTGAAGTGAGCGCAAGCGGGCCACATGAAAGGACTGTGCTGCTGCAAGTCTGCAGATGCAGATGCACTCGTTGCAGTCGTCAAATGCAGAGATCACAGCAGTAGCCAAGAAGACACAGGAGCATCTCGATAATGCTATGCAAAGCATCAGCCACCTGCACCACAAAAACAAGTCGCTCACCAAACGAAACCATGCACTTGTAATGCGCGTCACACGTGCCTCGGCGGCAAAAAACACGCGCGAACGAGAAGGCACGGGATATCCTTGCCACCAAAGCCACTAGCACCTTTTCTCTCAAGGAGAAAGGTGTGTTTACAAATGTATCCCATGCGATGGTGCGAGACTTGGTCGCAAATCTGGACATACCTCTTCGGAGCATCAATGCCACAATCAATGTGGTAGCGGAGGCATTAGGTGTTGAGGTGGAGGGAGATGTTAGCCAGCACAGTATTCACCGGATGGTGATTGAAGGTGGCATTGCAGCGGAGACACAGCTAGTTGACGAGATCACTCGTGCAAGAGGTATGCAAGTTGTTTGACTCAGAGTCAAAGAGATCTTGACCATCCAAAATTCATCCACCAACATACTGGACCTGGGGCCCATTCATGCCAAGGTCATTGCTCACCTACAGTGTCTCATTGCGGATGTTGACCTTGTTTTGGGTCCGAGCGCCTCTCACGAAACAGCAACCCTGGATGGTAGGCCATTTGAGTGTCCAGAGGCATTTTATGCAATCCAGCAAATCACCCAAGACCAAAAAAAATACCCTCACCTTCGTTGTCTTCTTGTCACATTTTTGGAAGGTGCTCTGGACACTTGGGTCCGCTTTTGTGGCGAGTTCACTGCTGGTGGAGTGATAGATAAGTCATCCGCTGCTCAAAGAGAGATGGCTTACATGAAAACAACAAACGACGACAATGAAGGCGCCCTAGGGACAGTCTGTACATCTTTGTGGCGAGCACCGCACATGTCCTTGTCACACCTCAACTCTCGGTTCATGTACAAGAAGAACATGACAGGAACCTACATACAGAATTTCCTTCGGCCTGGGGCTCAAAAGAGGTTGCTCAAGAAGGCTTGCGCTGTTGATACACGAGGTGACGAGCGAAAACGGCGGGTTGCACAGGCTAACTATGATAAGGAGCGGGTGAGGAAGAACAAGCAGCTGGATGTGCGGAGGAAGGAACGGCGGGATGCTGCAGAGGCTAAGCTCACTGCAGTTGTGCCTCGTTTGACCCTTGCAGAAGTCGAAAAGCTCTGCGTCGACGAAATTAACCTGCAGATCCGGTGGCATCGTCAATTTGACAAGGATGTGCCTGCTGCAAAAAACACGCCATCAGGAAAAGCAAAAAAGGTTGAGGTATTGATGGATGCAGTTGGGCACTATGTACAAGGTGAAACACACCCTAAAAACAATACGCAGCACTCAATGGAGCAGCCAGATGGTAGTAACAATGCTCAGGGGATGCCTGGATGCGAGTATGAGTATGATGATGAGTGACCCTTATGTTTTGTTGACCATGGCTATTAATGCATAATGTTTAGAATTGATTATAATTCAACGATACAGCATTTTTATAGGTACTTACAATCTTGATAGTGTCAAAAGGCTTGTCCGTACACAGTTTGCCACAGTTTGCCGCTCGTACTACTACAATTTTGATTACATAATGTCACACTTTTCTTAGAGGCATTGCCCATCCCCACTATTAACTCTGACACCCATGGGCCCACTCCAAAGCATCGAGCCCATTCTACTGTGGGCCCACCCCTAACGGTCAGTAACAATGCAACCGCGGGCCCACCCATCAACATCGGACGACAATCTAATGTGGGCCCATGGTGGGCTGGCCCTACACCTATGGAGAAATGTCAACTTGGGCTGGCCGAGTCTATAGGGTCAAGTCACTGAAGGGGCTCTTGTGATAGGAGAAAGGAAAACAAATAAACACCCTCTTGCTACCCTAAGTAGTGAACCAGACTCAGTTGGAGCTCCAATGGAAATATCCGGCACCTGTGGCCACTCAATATTCACCACTCAGTCACTTCTGTATCTCCTTCCACAAGACTAGTTGCTGCATTTGACAGGTCGTTTTGTATTCTTCATATTATATAGTGTATCCAGACCTTACAGGATACTATTGTACAGGGGATGTTCTAGGGTTCAAATGTCATCAGTCTGAAAACCTTCCCTTGGAAGTCTGTTGGGAGGATGAAGAATGACTGTTTCTTCCGCCCTGTTCTGTGTCTATTGCTGACCAGCCCTCATGAGTTCTGCAAAATCTTGTAGCGCCATCAAGGCCTCTTAAGTTTCCTGAATATTGAAGTGTTCTTGAACTGCGCAAGGAAGGCATCTTCATTCTCTGAGGCTTGTAGTTGCAATGAGAAGGAGAACGTTCGGCGACAACGGAGGAGTGCTAGTGAGCTCAGTTGAACCAGTCATCTCGCGGAAAATACTTGGCATATGTGGTTCATGATGGAGGGGTTGTTGAAGGTGGAAAAACCGTGCGCATGAGTGTTGAGGCCTTTTTCAAAGTAATTTCAGCCACACATGCGTTTTGACGAACGCAGCCACCATGGACAACAACTACTTTTCCATTGATGGCATACTAGCTGAAAATCAGGTTTGTGTTGTACTTGATGTTCTAACACTAAAGTCTGGCCCAGAAAATACAATGTAACTTTAAAGTTGACATCCCTGACATGGGTCACCTCACAGGTGGATCTGACCATGATGTACAGGTCTCAATTGCCCTTCCCTTGTGTGCCATCATCGTTAAAGCCACCCTAGATCAAATCCTTATCAAAGGCACCAATACCGATATGGCTGGCCTATATCATGTTATTCTCGTGCGTTCAAGTCATCTCCAGTGGGCACAAGAATAAATTGATCTTCAGAGACTGGGCTGACTTCACTATCCCTACACCCTTTGGCACGCGAGTAAGAAACATGCTCAAGGCTGAACCCCGGAGTGTAAAGCTATGCAACTTAATTGGTACAGGTGGACTATGGTACGGTTTTGGGAAGATGATCACGGATATGCGAGTCTCGCTGCTAATTTCAGGGAGCATGCTTGACTGGCTATAAGTTTGAGTGAAGAGCAGGCGAATGGTATATCAGAAGTGCTAATGAAGGTACATTGCCTGCATACACTGTGTGACATTACCAATAGTCATTTTCAGGCCTTCAAAGGGTGGTTGCTTGAGATGGTTGAACAAGTGCAGCATTTTGCGGCACTTGACCCTGCAGGAGGAGGTGGGCCTTCTTCCGATACAGCACAGTCGTTCAGAGAAGGGCATGATGGAACAGAAAGAGAATGTTAGTGCCAAAAGTTATGGCTTGGACGCTTACTCACAAGTCTTTAGTGTTTGCACTGGCTCAGGAAAGCACAAAACGGATGAAACGCTGGCATGAAGGAAATGACAAGGCACGTCGATGAGGAGATAACATTCCATGCATTACATTGTGTCGTGTATCTCTACGATATATCATTGTTCTTTTTTTTCTGTACTCATCTCCGTGCTGGTCATTGTACTTGCAGGAGGAAGTTTTTTAAGCTCTTGCACGAACCTATACATTGGCCTTAGTACAATGTTCAACGTTTGTATGCCCAGCTCAGCATACCATTTCACGCTCACCCACAAGGCTAGTTGGATGCCCATCAAAACAAAGAAGTGTGGATTGCCTTTCGTTAGGTACGCTGACCAAAGGAAGACGAAGACCAACAGTGCAAATGCGGCATTGACTGCGAGAAGAAATGTTGGATGGAGTGATGAACCTGGTTTCAGAATGGAAGAGAAGAACGAGGACTCTTCTCCCAATGCCATATTCTCGCACTTTGGATTGCTCAAGTAGTAGCCAACCTGAAGTCTGTTGGGAAGTCGAGGGTTCGGGAGCAAAGGTTAAGTTGTACTTACCCAGTGTGGAACTGGAAGAATTAATTCTGTGACTTCCGACAAACTAACGCCTTCTGGCTGCAAACATCTCATACGAGCATTATCAACTACATGAACAGTTTGGGAATTCTGCTACGAGAGACAATAAAGCACTAAGGAAATACTAAAGGGATTATGCAGTTACTTCGTTCGGTGATCCGTTCATAGCATGAGTCATTGTGAATTGAAGCTTGATGGGATCATGTCTAAAAAACTCGCCAGCCTTCTGTGACATCTGAGCAAGTTGTCAGCTACCCAAGCCAATATAACGTAACAAAAAGCACCAACTATGTCATAATTGTACTTCTTGCTCAGGATTAGACTAAACTCTGGGTGATCATGGTCTGCCTCCTCAAACTTCAGTCGGAAGATGATCATGATGCAGTTCTGGAGGAAGTCATAAAACTGTATCGGGTTCGAGTACAGACACTGAGCATCGAGATCGTGGTTCCTGCACAAGGATTGAGCACATAGCGTTTAATCAAGGTTCACACACTCACTCTTTCTCAGAGTGCTCGACCTGGAAATAAATGACATCACCATCCTGAATCTCACTCTGAGCAAAAGTGAGCTTCTGCTTCATGAGCTCAATCATGCAAGGCTTGATTTCCTGCAACCGTGAAAAGTAAGAACTGAAGCTGGACGGTTATTCTACCAGTGCACCTCGAAGAGTCTCAGGGGAGTCCCTGGTGCCCAACGCACCCACTCATTAACAAGGGGGTGCAGATCTTGGACTTTGCTGTTCCTTGAGACGTGCGCCTTACTAATACTGTACAGAGCTGCTTCGTCATGTTGAAGTGCTTCAGGAAAATCATGATAGATCCCGCTGGAGGCTCAGGCTGCAACATGCGTTAATGAACTTCTTGTAAAACAAAGAAATAACATACCTTACTCGGATCGGGTATTATATCAAGATATAAGCGAAGGTCATTCTGCCTTGCTGCCATGTTATTGCGGATCACCTCAACAGCTGGAACAAGTGTTAGTATTTTATGGGTATGAAAGGAGAAGGACATACTGAGCGTCGGTTCATTCTCAGGGATATGAGTATCAGGACAGACAGTCTTGTTTTGATGGTTGACCAAAACCCAGAGACGTATTTTGTTCTCTGGAAGGTTGAAATGGCTTGCTACACGTGACTTGCAATTGAAGGTACTATATGTTTCTTGCTTTAAAGAAACTCGGTAGCTCCGACGACAGCCAGTTCTTTTCATCAAATGTGGCAAGATCAAAGCCTTCATGATGAGCAAATGTGTCGTCTGTGATGACCTAAGCTGATGTGAGCAAGAGGACAGGTGAATGATGCAAAGGCCATCACGAACCTTGGCCGTGAGGAACAGGTGTTGCTCCTTGCATTCTCGCTTCAATCTGCAGTCTCTCATCCTCAAGTCTATGAGCAGATGTACAATGGCAACTTTTGTATAGAATATATAGCAGGAATGCACATAAAAGTTACTGTACAATATGGTATGCGATATGATGACAGGTGCTGGCACATAAGTTACTGTAGGGATATGGCATGCGATATGATGATGGTCAACATAGATAAGTGGATTGGGATAGTATGAATCACAAGTCAGAGCTGCTTATCTTTAACTGAAAAGGATTGTCGGGACAAGAGAAGAGCACTGCGAGCACCTCGGATGGACGCATGTGTTTGGCCTGAAGTTCAACACTTTCCAGCTCATGGAAGGCATTAAGCCAAGGACGGCAGCGGAACTTCATGAGGGTGAGTGCCAATGTCGTCTATACATTAAAGGGAACTCACGAGAAGATCATCCGGATCAGGACCACGCACAGAAATAGTCAGCTGTTTCGCAGGTACGGTGCGGTGTTCATTGCACGGAACGTCAAAGTGGTTGGTGTTATAAGAGGTGTCGAAAAGAGTCAAATGCAGTGCCTGAATACTCGCGAAATGTTGAGTAATGTCCAGAACGGCGGAGAAGTAGTTGGAGGTTGAATCTTCCTCAAACCGAAGGCTGAGGATTTGGATGCAAGGGGCTGGATGAATTGCAGCCAGTAGGAGAACGAGGTACCAAGATGGACCACCAAGAACGCTAAGTTCGTGTAGATGGGAGTTGGGGATCTGCTGCGACGTGTGTCTTCACAACTTCTGTGAGGAATGATTCTGCAATTTCAGCGGGACAAGAGTCTGTCCTGGATGAATCCACACTTGGCCAATATTCTGATGGTGGATCAAAAAATTAGCGAGGACGTGGGGGGGGGGGGGGGCATTCAATGTCAACCGTCAACATTCGAAGCAACGGGAGGTGGACGTTCAGCAGTAACAAGCCCCACTGAATGCCGCTCAATCCAGTGTGGGTGAGTGAGAGGTCGGCTAATGGACAATCTTGCAAGGTTGCGAGGGTGAGCGAGGTGACGCATGGGGCGAAAAACATGGGCGAGTCCACTGACAATCGCCAAAGACTACATACCGCGCCTGGGTCTGATCCAGGAACAGGAGCAGGTACAATCATACACAGCTGCTCCGAATCATCACTGCTTGAATAGGCAAAACTAGAGCAACCTAAATCCTTGATCAGCTGGAATAAAGAAGCCAGATCCACTCTGGGGGGTGCGTCAAAGCATATGACCGATGAGATGGGTTTACTCTGAACACCTATCAAGGACTCCAAGAAAATCTTGAGTGCTGTCAGGTCACGGTCACCAGTACCAAGGAGGTCACAACACAGGAACCGAGGGGCGCAGAAAGAAGTCGTTCGAGAGTACAACAAAAGGGCCAGGCAGGTTTGGACGTTGACCTGCAACCATGTCTGCCTGACGGATAAGCCTACAGAATGAAAATATAGGGGCGTGGCAAGGTCCTTTGAGAGGCAGGACACTTGTGTGATTGACCGCAGGTCTCTTGCAGGAAGATATGTGAATATCATCAAAACAAGCTCGTTTGGAAAAGGCCAGTATGAAATTGTCAGGGGAAAGATGGCTCATCCACTCAAGGACGCTGCAGGAGAGGACGTCCCCTGCGAAAGACAAGTATAAATAAAGAAATGTAGAGCTTTAGAGCTGACTTACATGTGAAAGAACGCAGTCTGTGCTGCGCTCTGCAGTTGCAGATTGAGCCTACAAACAAAAATGAGGGATGTGCGGAAGACTGGTAAAAGGTTGAACTTACGGTAATGTCAGCAATCACATATGAACAGGAGAGCACACGTTTCTTGAAACTGGGGGGGAGGGAGCCGTGTGATACTGCTTCATCTGCTTTGTGTTTCAAATGCTCTCGAGTGAACTTCTGTGGTAGGTCTGTCGTTGGTGTGTGAGCCTACAAACGAGGATGAGGGATGTGCGGACGACTGAAGAAAGGTTAAACTTATGGTAATGTCAGTAATCGCATATGAACGGGAAAGTGCACGTTTCTTGAAACTGGGAGTAAGGGGGCTGTGTGATGTTGCTTCATCTGCTTTGCGTTTCGAACGTGTTGCAGGCAATTTGCGCTTCTTCTTGAAAGGCAGCATTGAGCTATCAAGGAAATCATCATCCGTGGCCTTCCCCTTGAAATTACTGGGTCTAACAATGATTGGGGTTTTGCATGTGAAATGACACGCACGGGTGAAACAGAGTGTGCATGAGTCTGTGTGGTACTCATGGCTGCAGGCATGAGGGATGTTAGGGCACAACACAAATTGTACGACATATTTATTGTGCAGACAGTTGTCCACTCACAGCCAAACAATAGACAAGGCACATGCCGACTGGAATGGACTGCACAAGAACAACTGAGCAAATGGATGCAATATATGATGAAAGCATGGCTAAGGAATACCAAGTCAAACGATCAAACAATAATACCATAGGTCGTCAACTCACCAGTCCAAGTTCTAGATTTGATGAGAAGTCAAACAATAAGTTATCCTGGAGGAGTTGTCAGCACGCCAAGTCCAGAGGAATTAAGTCAGTGGGCTTGGTCGGCTTGAAGAAGTCGAACAATAGTTGATCCCAGGGACGAGCTCAAGTCTAAACTCCTATTCCGAGTAAGTTAACCTGCGCCTGAACCTGATTCAGCCTCCACAACAGCATCGTCGGGTGATGTATGATTGCTACGAATAATCTTTATAATGTTTGGTGCAGATCTACGAGTGAATGTGCCTATGACTACAACTTAAACAACATTTACAATGACTCTACAACAAAAAAAGTATACAAGTCTAATCTAAACAACTGAGGTGGGAAGGAAACTCAGCTGAACAGGATACAGTGTTTAAGTAGTGAATCAAATTCAGTCGAAACTCTGATGGAAATATCCGAAAGTGGTGGCATGCCACTCAGCCACTTTGGGTATCTCCGGCAGAGTCTAATTTTCATATTCACCACTTAAGCCTCCAAACCTTATTGATCAGTTTTTCTTCTTCTTCCGCATCATCTCCCTAACATTAGTTAATCTTTTGTTATCTACCAGTCAATGTTATTGTGTTCTGTCGTTATGACATTTTGCAAAACCGTTAGTCTGGCTCTGGATGCCCTGGGCCCTGGCAGTATCTGCTCTGATTCGTGCTTAGCTGTCAAGTATATGATGTCCTTCTGATGACGGTAAGCTCTCAACCAAATATTATGCCCAAAGTCGCTCACTTTCGGTACTATCACCACTTTAAACCACTCACCATTCACTGCGACTTTCCCCCTGAGCGCACCTACACTCCTCTTCCTTTAACACAGCACATGTCATTTTCTCACAACATGGACTACACAGGCTCAGCGGCGCCTGATGTCGCACAACACACTCCATTGGCAGCTCAGTCACTCGTCCCCACCTCTCTGTCAGCAAAAATTCCGAAACCCTGAGGAGATGTTTCCTGTATTAAGAGGGGAGGATATAATTTACATGAGGCACTCGGCTGGCCTTCTTCGGATTATGAAGAAACTCACGTGCGTGTGTCCTCATGCATGGTCAGATCACTCTCTGATTACTGTTATTTGACTGCAGACGTTCGTAGTACAACTCGCCCATGAACATCTTAACATCAACAAGTCCTGGAGTTCACAAGCAAAGGCCGGTTTGACTGTCATCTATGCAGAAGTAGGTATCTGTGTTGTTATTAGTCTTTGTCACTCATCTTTATCAGGCGAAGAAACGGTATCATATCCTTGATCGTTATGAGGGTAATTGGGTTGTTAGTGATATGCTCCGTATCTTCTTGAAAAAAAGTTGTAGTCATTAGGAGTAACACAGTCTACTTGAATCAGGTTCAGAGGTTAACTTGCTCAGGATAGGAGTTTAGACTTGAGCTCATCCCCGGGATCAACTATTGTTCGACTTCTTCAAGCTGATCAAGCCCACTGACTTAATTCCTCTGGACTTGGCATGCTGACAACTCCTCCAGGATAACTTATTGTTTGACTTCTCATCAAATCTAGAACTTGGACTGGTGAGTGACGACCTATTGTATTATTGTTTGACCGTTTGACTTGATATTTCTTGAACTTTTTCAACACTTCCCACAATGCCAACCACTTTGCCGGTCCATGCAATGAACACCACACTATAATGCTCCTATGTGTGTTCTGGACTTTCCAGGCTTATTCACAGCTAGTTCAAGCAATCTCTGCTGTGCTCAAGGAGTCGTGTTTTGAAGCTTCGCCATCATTTACGCTGCGATATATATATTTGCGTACATGGTAGATTCAGATGTGAGTCTAACCGCATTATTGACTCTACATTCCAATCATCATGCTTACATGTTGGCTTTGATAGTCATATTTACAGCCGGCTTTTTCAGGCTCCCGACTCTATGTACATGGTCGATGTGTATGGTACTGGTACAATCATTGAAATCCAATCATAATGCTTAATCATGATGCTTCAGCGTCATGTATGAATGCTCCTGCAAGCTCCCTGAAAAATTACACGTCCTCCTCCACACCAAACACGCGCTCCACCTCGTCCAATTCTTGCCACAGCTGGATCAGGAAGTCCCGTTTTTCCTCCACCATCAGTTCGACGAGGCACCTGTCACAACGTGACATTTGGATGGGGGGATGGGGGGGAAGCGGTACATGCAGTTGCAATTGCACATGCTCACGATTGTCCTGCACGACCTGATGCGCATGATTCCACAGAGCCTAATAAATGTCATGGTCAACACCCGACTGGTTCCCATCGCAGCCTTACCATAGCAGACGCTGTCACCACAAACCCAGGATGATTCACCTGCTGGTATATCAGTCCCTGCACGTGGAATACTCTTCACCAGCGTACAATATTGCCTACACCATTCACAAGCTGCAACTCAACATCAGCAAATGTGCACAGCTCATACCTTACGACTCACATTATGCCCGTTCTTGTTCTTGTTCTTGTTCTCGTTAGCGTTAGCTTCGTTTCCTCCGCCATTCACAAACTGTAGATTCGACGTAAGTGAACATCAGCGAACGGACGCGGCTCATATGGTACGCATACAACGTACATCATTTGCATTAGCATTTGCATTGACTTGCGCCATGATATGTAGTAGTTATAGACTTAGATTATTGAGTTCCAGGTACATGTATTTCGAGTGACTTCTCAGTCACGTCTTATGTAATTCGAGAAGCTTGCCTCGATGATCTAGAGCAGGAGAAAATATAATCATGCGAAGGGGTCGCTCTGTCGGAACTCGGAGATCTTGCGTGCCGCTATGAAAGCAACCATAACCAGCCGAGAGAAACAGAAGTTGAAGGTCCTGAAGAGGGAGGGATTATAAGTCTGGTGAATGAGAATGGCAAGATTGTGGGCTGGGTAGGTCATCTTTCACAAACTGAATGAGATGGTGCCAACTGATGGTCAACAGCCCCAGCCGAGCGACCTAGGCCCATCATGATGGATCAGCCTCGTGTCATTCATATATGCACGCATCAGGAACCGCTGTTGAGGATCAATCATTCGTCATATGTTTGATGTATGCTGGTTTCTCATCATGTACTAGTCATTGTGAAGCCTTTAGAACTGCTGGGATGTTGTCATGCAGTATCAGACTGATATTCCAGGATAAGCACATATAATTTTAATTCTACATGGCATGCATTACAAAAATCTATAACATGCATGATTGAAACTCTAGGGCGCTGAGTATCAGTGTTACAAGTCGAAGTCATACTCTAACAGTGAGCCAGACCAGATGGACGGAGCCACAATTTCTAGATGTCCTCCGACAAAGGAGATACTTAAAGTGGCTTCAAATATTCATGTGTTGATTTTGTGGTTATTAAATGCTTAAAATCATCATCATTATAAACTATTGTTATGACACTGAGGCATGTATGTTTACTTTGCACGCTGGTCTCATCTCACTGTCCTTTGTCTCTACACTCGACTATTAGGTACTGTAAATGTTAGTGGTTCTATCGTTATGACTATTAGATTTCTAATTACAACAGAACACAGTTCATAAAGTAAGTTAACCTGTGAACCTGATTCAGCCTCCACAACAGCGTCATCGGGTGACATATGATTGCTACAAATAATCTTTATAATGTTCAGTGCAGATCTACGAGTGAATGTGCCTATGACTACAACTTAAACAACATTTACAATGACTCTACAACAAAAAAAGTATACAAGTCTAATCTAAACAACTGAGGTGGGAAGGAAACTCAGCTGAACAGGTTACGCTCCCTAATTCAGTCGAGTCTACCCCTCATTTTAATCTTATTGTGTAGTACATACTATGTGCAAGTCTGGTTGGGTAGTATTGTTGACCTTTTAGACATTGTAGTGATGCTAGTACAACTCGTATTAAGGAGTAATATTGATATATCAGACTTTATTATGGTCTCTTCACCGGGACAGTCTTCCGGCTCGAACGACGAGGGCCTGGAGGAGCTAAGACGTCGGTAGGGCTCAATAATGAAGCTTGAGCAACTGGAGGGGGTTCATCAGCAGCCTCATCAGAGATCCATTTGTCGAGAACCCGCTCAATATCCTCGGGAGTGATGCCGCTATCACTATCATCTTTGTCTGCTTGTAGAAATTGGAGGCGCCACTCCTGAACGAGATGTCTGAGTCCCCCAAAGTAAAGCATTGTACGTTCCATCAACTCTTTGTCACGCCCTACGAGCAATAGACCCGACTTATATGAAACAGCCCGAGAGCCCATGTCCTCCAATAGATCAGCCCACCAATCTGGCTTTGGCTGTATTATACTGCCTTTGGGCCCATCGAATGCGGAAATAAAATCGACGAAAATGTAGAACAGAGACTCTAGATCATCGCTGGGGGTCTGTCACATCATTGTGTTATCATGTGCACCTATCATATGGAGATCGCGGAGAAGGCAGATAGACATGTATGGCACAGAACCCTTCAGACAACGATATCAGCGACTTGCACCATAAAATTCTTTAATCGTGACTCACAGTGCCCCGTGAACAAACACTAGTGTTGCCTTCCGCAATGATCAGGGCATGGTCAAAATCGATGAAGTAGCCGCGTCCATCAGAGATAATGAAGTTATTGGGGCTAAGGTCTCCATGTAAGATATTCCTTTTCACCATTGCCTTGTGAGCTAAAAATAAGCGGTCAGTATTAAGCCTCAGATTCAACACACTCGGGGACGGAAACCTACTGACTACGAAGTCACGAAAGTGCTTATTAGCTCTCGTTTAGTCAAGTATGTCGATAGCGGCTCTCCACATGGTGTCAAAAGCAAGTGCTGGTGATATTTACAGCAAAATCCCGGACTGAATCTCCCGTGGAGATTACGGATGCGCAATGTGGAGTCGGGCTCTCCCTCGTACTCAACATCCCAAGCATCCACGAGAGTAACTACATTAGGAATGCCCCAAACCAACTCAAGAACCTTTTCTTCGTGATCTTTCTTCGCCTCATCCACCCAACAATCCTTCAGTGCATACTCACATCCATGCTGATCCCAAACGCGATAACAGATAGTTCTGCGGGAGAAAAGACCCTGACTTCTCCACAAGATGGAGATTATCGATAACCTCTCCTTCTTCTTGTCCTCTATCCAGCCTATTGCCTTGTCACCCACGTCACATTGTGTTTGCTTGCATGACTCATCGCACATATGCATGGTGGAATCCACACCATGGGCTTTGCTGTTCACTAGCGACATGGTATTTAGCATGTCGACAAGACGTGCCAGGTTTCCGATGATTGAGATGGGGCGTGTGATGATGAGGCCTGAGTGGTCCATATAATGGGCACGGAGATTGTTTGCTGCAAGGCTGAAAAGAACGACGAAGCGACACCAAGGTTGTTCTCGCATCATGAGATAACCTTTGGTGATCGCCCCCTTGAACAATGGTATGTCGCGGTGTATGCCAAGATCAGATTCGGTGATCTCAACGCATGTAAGGACGTGTGCCCAGCTTTTCGGTTCAACGTTGCGATCAAGCAGGACTACATTGGGCTTCTGGACGTTGGTCGCATCCGGAATAGGAGCATTGCAAAACTCCAGTGACCACTGTCGATGCGGGTGTTTGTGATTTTCAGGCTCAAAATGGAATACAGACGAGTGCTGAGGGTACGTCTTCTTGTATGCCATGTGCATGGCTGTGTAGATGGTATTGAAGAGATGCGCCCATTTTTGCTCTTCGGTCCGCTTCGGGGATGGCTTTCTGTTTGGTTTTTTGGGGTCGTATTCTCGGCAGCCTGAGGTCTGGTCACTGGTGTCAGGGGCCACTGACGCAGAGGAACCTTCATGATCTGTCTCCAAGTCTCCCAAATTAGAACCAGTATCCAGCACCTGCTTCTGCTTCAGCATCTGCTTCTTCGCATTCTTATTGAGTTCCCACTTGCGACCGGAGAATATAGGCACTCCGCTGTGGTAGGTAATGTTCTCAATATTTGAGATGTCAAGACTCGATATAGGGATCAGGTGATCCATGAGAGAAGGGGAGATGGCGGGGAGATCTGTTTCTTCCCACAGGACGTTACCCCACAAGATTGTTGTCCAAGAGATTGTCCATGCACGGTTGGAGGCGCCATGTAGGGAAGGTGTTCTACGAGCTGACCGTTGGCAAAATGCCGGATGTTGAGGTGCTTGTCATCCTGATGCCAGATTCTGATTAGATCAGTATGAGTGACATCTATGAGACATCACATACATTTGAGTTGGCACTAACTTGAAGTGTTTGCGTTTTTTTTGCGGTGAAAAGAAAGAAAACCAAAAATGTGGCATTTTGACATAAGTAGTAAATCGGACTTAGTCACTGACTGGGACGTTCCAGAAGTCCCCAACATTCCAAATACAAGAACAAATACAACAAGTCCGTGCAAGAAAGTCCATGGTACGTCCTAACCCTAACATACAACGAATCTAACTGACATCCAAATGAAAAGGAGTCCAACAAAGTCCAGGTCCAAGTGTTGCTGGTGGTCTCGTTGGCCTGGGTATGATCCATTTCTTCCAGATTTCTGTGTTAATTTTATCCCACAGTAAATATTGATCTTTTGTCCAGCGTGGGCTACATGTTCTATACCAAATCTGAGTTTCGGTGGAATTTCACTGCCATCAGTTCGGCAGCGGCAGGAGCTGTACTATTGATCGGGACTGATGGCTGCGCAGCAGAAAAGTATTGAAAGACCCCTAGAGGCCGCCAGGAAGAACGACGTACATGCAAGGAGGGCATCAAAAAATCAAATCAGTACTGTCATAAAATCTTGAGTACACAGCATATGATATAGAGTAAAATAACACTGAGCTGCCAAAAGTGAGATAAGAGCGCAATTCTAGGGTTAAGTTTCAGCATCAAAATTTCAGCGGCAAAGCCATCTTGCACTCACCATTTTGATGACGGCCTTGAAAATTTATTGATGATTTGCAAGTATACAATAGGGATACATTAACACTACTATACAAACAAAATGATGGAAAGAGGAAAACGGACGACAAGGGTTTGAGGCTTAAGTAGTGAATGCGAGGATTCAGACCCAGTGAACATTGACCAGAAAGAGGTAGATAGGTAGGAATAGACGTCGAAATAGCAAATGATATAGATAGTCATCTAAACAATCTGAGATGAGAAATATACAAAGTTATGCAAAGTTTTAAAAACAATGCAAAGTCCAAAAAAAACATGCAAAGTCCAAACATGCGATTCATTTTGCAACAAACGCTGTACAAATTACAATCAAAGTTTGCGAATTTGGAAACTTTGATTGCAATTCGTGCATGCTGCTTAGATCAGATTGCATCAACATTCGAAATATTGCTAAGTCCAAATCTGCTATGGACTCCATCAAAGCTGGTGCACACAGACTTGACGACGGCACCACTATCTATGTCTGTGACTGTAGTACCTGTCTTCATAAGACGGGAGGGCAGAATACACAGGTATCACGAGCTACTTGCTTCAGACACAAGCCCACCAAACTTGCGACAATTTTTCTACCACCACTCCCCCTTGACATCGCACCAGATCCCCCGCATCTCCCGCATCCACCTGTTACTGTACCGTGCATCGCACCAGATCTCCCGCATCTCCCGCATCCACCTGTTACTGTACCCTGCATCGCACCAGATCCCCCGCATCTCCTGCATCCACCTGTTACTGTACCGTACATCGCACCAGATCTCCCGCATCTCCCGCATCCACCTGTTACTGTACCCTCGTCCAGCAAGAGACCACAGCAAGAGCTCGATGATGAAGAAGTTAGATCGAGAAAGAAGGGACACACGGACACACCAGAATTAGCACCGTCAAGTTCATTTGACTCGCAGGTGAGTCTTATTTCATAGTCTTTATCACTATCACTTACAGTTATAGCCTATCATACCCCAGCCCGAGTCACCCGCTCATATACCAGACTATGACGCGCATGGGATGGTCAATGATGATATTGACCCCAAAGTTGAAGGTATGTACTATCTACTTGATCATGATTATAATTCTTACTATTTCAATTAGATCCATTTCAGCATGGTCGCAGCATCAACGACTCAGATGTCCCAACTTTTGATGGGGTCGACAACCCTCCAGAGCCTGTGGTACAGTCCCCCGCTACAGATACCTGACATACTGCGACACCCCTCACTCGAGCGTGAACTAACACCACCACCCAGCACCAATAAAGGAAAAGACAAAGAGGTACCTATTGTAGAGGTGAGTTGGATGTAAGCGCGCCAACCAGACACTAACTTCACTTGTTTACCAGGTCAAGAACCCACTGTAAGTTTTGATCTATTTTATATTCATCTTACTGATCTATTGAGTAGTTCTAATCTTGTTTTGAAACCTCAGCCCAAAGCGATCCCTAGGAAAGCTCCTACCACTTCTGTCGACTCTTCGACTTCATCTTCGACTTCTTTGACTTCTGGAGACATTCCCACCGCTATTACACCACCATCCAATGGCTCTACATCTGTTTCTATACCAGATGGACCTTCGAGTACCGATACTGCCTCTCTCGCTGTGAAGGTGGAACTCCTGGCCGCCAATAAGAAGTCGACACCCATCACGACCGATTCGAAACCTAGGCCCGAAGCCATCAAGAAGTGCCAGCCAAGCACAAAGCCTATGTGTGTGAGCGCCAAGATAACAGCGCAGTGAGTTCTAGAACTTCTACTATTTGTTATTGTGATACAAAGTAAGGCTAGGAACCTTTGCGCTCTCGACTGGCAAATGAACAGACATCAGAGGGATCCTGCGAGTGTCTTCGCGATGTACTGGAACAGTTTGTCGAACACCAACAAAGAGGTACATCATTTTCATATTGATATCATCTCTACTACTAACGGAGTCTGCTATTACTATATTACCGTGACAGGTATACAAGCACAAAGCGGTCCTACAGGTGCGTGGTACTACTATGTATCATGCTACTTTTATACTAACAACCTGTTTATAGCTCAACTCATCTGGAGCCGTTCAAGAGGGTGGTACCGGCGATGATGCGGACGAGGAGTAGTGGAATGGGCAGGATGGTGGACAGGGCGGGATGGCGGGCAGGGCGGGTAGGACGCGATACCTACGGTTACCACCATAATGATAGCGATACCCTACAATAATCTCATTTTCTCCCATTAGACGCATATCAATATGTTTTTTCAAGCTAAATGAATGGATTTGCAGGCCAGAGATATATCTAAACACAGCGAGAGTCGCATCTAAACATCTAAATTTTCTCTCGAGGTCTTTCTTTTTCCGTCTCGAAAAGTCTCATTTGGCTAAACACGTCAAAACTCTTCGATGTTTTTCATAGGGCTGATATTTTTCGACTTGTATCTACACCTATCTACCTCTTTCTGGTCGATGTTCACTGGGATTCAGACTCCACCGGAGGTACCCGAAGTGGCTGACTGAGTGGACACCTGGCACATCTCAGTGAGTTCGGTTCTGACGTAATAACCCGTGTTACTGACTAGAATCATAGAACGTCGATGTCGCATCGCGTGAGTAAATGAATTGAGTGCATCAGTAAACCACTAAACCTTGCGCAGTGTTTGCTACTTTTCACAGCTCTCACAGCACCACAAAACCTCACAGAACTCGGCTGATGTAAGTCATTGACAGAATGCTCAAATCGGACAGTGCCCCGCTAAGTGGTGCACTCAACGGGGCACTTGTATGCCCTATGCACATTTTCAGGATTGTTGTCAGAATCTAACATCAGAAATATCCATGTACATATTCTTGATTTTTCCTCCCTGTGCCCACCCAACATAGTCACACTCTGTCCCCCCACCCGATTTAAAACAGAGTTTAAATTTATTACGCATTTGATCATGTGGTATATCTACTATTTATTTATGAATCTTGTGGTCAACATATACTTGTCATTCTCATTATCTGATTATAAATTTAACAATAAGGCAGATCCATGCCGACAAATTCAGCATTTATATGTACACAAATTCCCCGTTTGAGCATGAATCTGGGGTTGAAATTAATTGTCGATATTTTCAGGCTTTGATCATGCATCTTGAGGCACGCCCAATTATTTAAAATATTAACAATTTGTCCCTCAATTTGAACGGGATCTGTCACAGACTCTTATTTGGCCATGTCTCAGGTGTCTGCCTTCTCCGATGATTTCAATTTGCGGGCTTTACTTCCCGAGTCACTATTCACTAAGTAACTATCAAGTCCTGTGTTCATATGATCACCGGTGCTGTGACAAAGAGGATGAACGTCCCTATAGGAGAAGACCATGCCAACTACAGTCCTATGCTCACCAGCATTAGGATAGATGTTCGTGCCCCAGTCTGACTCCAGGCTGGGTCTCACAATGCCAGGCAAAGATTAAACGTCCGGGCCTCACTGACTAGGATTTCACCGCCAGCCATAAGTTCTCTTTTGATATGTACGTGTCCCTTATCCTCTCCACACCCCAAACTCACATCTCCCAGCCGACTTCAAATTCAAGTATTATGCCCTTCCGCGAGCTCTGCGAAGGTCGCTTCTCTCTAAACCCCGCTCCTCTCCCTAACCTCCAAATACATATTCTCTGAACTCACCTCCCAGGAAAAGCGGCACGCGTCTGTTCCACACACATCTATGAAATACGCTTGACCCCCCAACTTGACTTTCCCCGTCAATGCACACCATCCCGCATTCTACGCCCAACACCCCCGCACGTGCCCTCGTTCTAGTACAAGAAATGCAAACGCAACCCCACCCAACCCAAGATCACGATCACTGTTTGTTCTATCAAGACGAGTGAGGGTTATAAGCGATGGACGAAGGGAATGAGGCGATGGGTGTCATTTATTATTTGGGGATTATTGATATTTTGACGCCGCATGTGGAGGTGAAGAAATGTGAGTATTTTCGGAAGGGGTTAAAGGCTGGATATCAGGTGAGTGTTGGTTTAATTTTGGGTTGAGAAATTTCGTTCGTTTCGGACTGACGTGGTGTCCTTCATTTCTCAAGGCTGACTCTTTTCCTTCACACAGCACAAAATCAGCCCTGTCCCATCTGCCGAATATGCAGACCGCTTCTTTGGGTTCATGAAAGCTATCATGCAGGGAGGAGGTGGTGGAGCGGCTGAGTGATGTCCTTGTTGTGTGTAACATTTTGCGGTGTGCGATGGCTGTGTGCTGAATTCTGCGTGTAGACGACGGAAGAATATCCTCTCACCTTGCGATTATGGACTCGGTACACCAAATCATCACATTATCATCACATGTCATCTGTTCAAACAATCCGTTGACATTTGGGATGCGTTGGAGGTTGTACCAAGACCCGTGGATTCGAGGCGGGTGATGCATGTTTCGAGGGTGTAGATGGGGTGCTGCGAGGTGAGCTTGGGAGACAGGGTCGATGATACGACCGTCTTTCTTCTATTGGGAGAGGCGCGATCTGACCTAGCCGACACAGGAAGCGAAACTTCTTTGGCTGCGTGTGGTACGCATGCAGACCTTGAACGATGTAAGCTAAATAGCAGGGTTGTACTATTAGTTGAAGTAGCACAAGAGCATGACGCAATTCATCCAGTCCCGCAGACGAAGGTTATCGCTGCACTTATGCTACTGCACTTCCTTAGATCTGGCTCGGGGCATTGACACCTGGAAAATCGCAGGTGCGCAATTGGACCCATGTGCAGAGCTCCAGCAAGTGAACCCATTAAGAAAGACCTTGTTTTAGCCTTCGCAACAAATGAATAACAGGCTCGCGGTGCAACTTAGATGAAGTCATCTACAATTCGGTGCAGCAAGCCCACCTCGACTGGGCTCAAATTTGTCAACCTCCACAAGCATAGCAGATGCAGGGCAGCCGATCATTCCATTCACCAAACCCATTTGAAGATCTGAAGGACTCGTACATGCATACTCATCGCCCTTTTCCTCCTTGTCTTTTATTCTCTGCCGCGGGCATGATGCTTGTCAACTCAGCATGTTTATACAGCAAGCTATTTAAGTGAGTACCTGCACGATCATGAGCTCTGACACTAGCGCCAACAACACCTTATACTCTCCTCTACATTTAATGCTGATCGAAGGGCATCATACTAGTAATACTCCACGAGGTTGGTACTCAAGCTCTCCGCGCTTCTCTAGTGCAAAAGGTTTGATCCATAGATGAATAATGGCAGATGTATAACCCACCTTTTAGTAGTTCCACTACTCCCTATCGCCGTACCCAAGCCCTCCATAAGCAACGAGGTTGGTTTCTAGCTCTTCGCGCTTGTACCCCACATAACCAACGAGATTGGTTTCCAGCTCCTCCACGGTTCTTGCCCTCGTCTGAGTCAGACTTCGTCACGTTGAAAGAGACTCGTGCCAAGTTCCTCTCGCTTAGCTGAGTGATACATTAGCATCCCGCTGTGACAAGTAACTATGATGCTGCTGATGGATCATTCATACTCACAGGAACTGTTCCACGATGGCTCCTGGCATTGGGTACACTGAAGCAAGACTGAACGATAGATGTGAGCGCGCTGAAGAGAAGCAAAAGCTGCATGCTTGTGGATAAGAGGAATGACTACTTCGTCAATGCACTACACTGTGGACTATACGACCTAGCACGCAGCAGGATCAGTGAACCTCCAAGTCGACGACATCGAGCTCAGTCGTGCAGTTATGGTCGGCTGAACCCGAAGATGAACAAGTGTCCTGTCAATATTACTTTGTTGACCACGCGACTTCGAACTCTCTTTGGGCTTCACGATCACGATCAAGCGACAGTGAACATTTTTAGCGGGCTCCAAGTCGTCGCTGATACGAGCCACATTCGTGCGTCGGTGCTGAACTTATGACGACGATAAGAACTAGCTGGTAGGATATCTCCTGGAGTCTGAGTACTGGTATGTCACTTGCAATTGTACGAGTTTCAGTCACTTCTCGCCAGTCTCGTTATGACTCGAATGTGGTTCCAGATGCTGTATGATCATCGCCTGACGAGCAGGACGCACTGCGAACGCTACCCGAACCACCAGATGGATCGAGTCAAGCTTCTCGAGGAACTGAGGGAGGTCGTCATGCATGCGAGTGCAGGCACTTGTCGCATGTCAATAATCCTCAATTTTTTGTGGACGCGACATTCTAGAGATCATCACTTCGGATATGTCGTTGTCGCCGTTTGATGCCGGTGAACTCTCCAGAATCTTGGAGCTGATCAACCATCTTAAAGGTACGAAATTTCCCTTTCGATCCACTCCCTAGCACAATCTAAAGTATTACAGAGAATGCCGAGGAAAATAATTTCCCTCATTCAACTGGTATCATCAGTAAGCACAGCCTATACCCATGGTTCAATATTATGAGATTCGTCATTTTACCAACAGCCTGTCAGTGAGGTTCATGCATTACTTCTGCTTGTGAAAGATACCCAACCTTAGCGCTTTGGGATTTATCACCGTCAACTTTCTATACAATGGTATTGGTAGGAGTCTTAAGATACACTGAATCTGTTATCTCCTTAGCACTACATTTCCAGGGAGTATCTTAGTTATTACGCTCTTCGATGTGCAAGCACTAGCAGATCAAACATATATCGAGGACAAGATCATGATGTACATGTTTCTTATCTGTAAACTTAGATAATTGTGATTCGTAACTCGGTCCACTACAATTTCATCATTGATTTCTCCTTTTGATCACGATTCAGCAAAAGACATGAACAAGGATCTGTTGTGACTCCTGCGAGCCCTGATCAGCACGTACCATACGTGATAGTGTGCATGAGGAAACATATAATTGGAAGGAACTTTCAACCACGCTTGTAGTACTCGCCAGCAGCATGTAACGGCAAGAAGAACTCGGGCACCATCATTTTCTGGGTCTTTGTCATGCAAATCTACGCAGGCTGAACGTGGCTGTGCCAAAGAATCCGTTGAGATTGATGTTATGATTTAAGGTTTGCAACGTATTGACGTCTGCAGCGCGCAAGCAAGATAGGGTATCCGAACTCGAACTACAGCTGTGAATTGATTAGCTTGGTAACGGCCAAATGTTATGAAAGGACTCACTTCGTCCCGTTCACGACCATATTATACAGCATCTAGTAGTGGTATTCAGTACGCAACGAACGTCGACGTCATGAACGAAAATCACCTCCGGAATTCGATCGTTGTAGTTGTATTGTGAAGGCAAGTACGTGGAACTTGTCATAGCAGCTTTGAAGAGAGGAGGCTGCGTGTTTCCTCCATGAGCGAAAATGTGCTGTAGCACAGAACCAGCGCCTGAAACGACGAGAGCAATAAGCAAGGCCAATGATGACGAAGAGTGCCTAACGCAGCTCACCAGCAGATTGACCCCAAATCGTGACTCTCGTTGGGTCTCCACCGAAGTTACTTATCTATCTAAGTGAGCTTCTATCAGCTGAGGTACAACACGCAAGTGGATATTTCCGCTCACGTAGGCCTGGACCCACTGTAAAGCGTAATTTTGGTCAACTTAGAATGTGAAGTTCAGCCGAGTCTGAAGCACTGTCAGAATTTGATAAACACAAATGTAGTCCTGCATTAGGTACACCCCCGTCTTTAACCACTTCTCCAGCAAGAAAACCTAGTTGGAAAGATATAAATTTGAAAACCAGAAGGAGCACGAAGACGTACCGAATAAACCGAGGCGGTACTGGAGCACGACAGTGATAACTCCGTGTTTCGATTTCATGATTAGCTCTGCGCCATTGTATAAATTCGCAGCTCCCGAAATATACCTGTAACAAAATCAACTTTATCAAGAGAGGATGATTTCGCAGGCTACTCACCCTCCTCCGTGAATCCATACGACTACTGGGAGCCCACCTGAGGGAGTGACCACTACTTCACTTCCAGCAGTGTATACACTACGTGCAACCGGTGCCCAATCATACGTATTAATATCAACATCGTGTTCCACGGCAGGGCTTACTTCAGAAATAAGCAATCTTCTGACGACTGCCGACTGACAACCGTCTTGCTCAAAGAGGTGTTTTCGAAAAGATTCGTCGGGGCACTTCCCAGGGGTGCTTGGTGGCATTCATTTGGTTACGTGGTAGCTTGTTGAACTTCAGAGAAAGTTGGTGGAGGCTGCGGAGCAGCCCATCTCAGGTCGCCTGTGCCATGCTTAGTGCGTGGGCTGATATTGTATACAACACAAAACTGGACGCACCAAGTGGAGGAGCTGCATACCGTACTCCAAGGAAACTGGTGCATCAGAGAATTGATGAGTCCTTGATATCGTAGCCGTGGGAAGTATAGAACGATGTAATTCTGCTTTTGCTAAATATTAGCATTTATACTGTGAGCAAATTGAGTTGTACATACATACCCATCGATGCCCACAAATTTAGTTTAACATGGACGGTCTATAACAATGCTATGACATTCCTCCTTCGTAGCCGGTGAGGGGTGGTACCATACCTGTGTCAATTGTTTTGAGCTTTATCATTTTGTGTTATTTTATTTTTGAATCACAATGTTTGTTATTCAAGACCTTCTCGAGACTGTCTCGTGAATACCAATGTCCCTATATCAGACTCTCTGGCATGACAGCTGCGTGGGTCTGAGACGGGTGATACATGTTTCAAGGGTGTAGATGGGGTGCTGCGAGGTGAGCTTGGAGACAGTCAGTGGTTCGACTGTCATCCTTCTGTTTGGGAGAGGCGCGATATGACCTAGCTGACGAGACTCCTTCGGCTGCGTATGGTACGCATCCAGACCTTGGACGACAGCATAAATGATGTAAGCTAAATGCAGGGTTGTACGATTAGCTGAAGTAGCACAAGAACAGGACGCAATTCATCCAGGCGAAGTTATCGCTGCATTGGTGCACCTGGAAAGTGGCAGCTGCGCAATTTGACCCATGTTCAGAGCCCCGGCAAGTTATTCCATCAATAAAAACCTTGTGTTAGCCTTTGCAACAAATGGATGAACAGGCTCGTGGTGCAACTTACACGAAGTCATTCACAATTCTGTACAACAAGTCCACCTCGACCGGGCTCGAATTTGTCAACCTCCACAAGCATAGCGGATGCAGGTCAGCCGATCATTCCATTCACCAAACTCATTTGAAGATCAGTGAAGGACTCGTACATGCATATTCATCGCCCTGTTCTTATGACAAACAATTTAAATGAGCACCGTACGATCACGAGCTCTCTAACACTAGTGCCAACAACACCTCATACTCTCCTCCACATTTAATGCTGATCGAAGGACATCATACTAGTAATACTCCACGAGGTTGGTCTCAAGCTCTCTGCGGTTCTCTAGTGCAAAAGGTTAGTACCCAGGCCCTCCATAAGCAACGAGGTCGGTTTCTAGCTCTTCGCGCTTGTACCCCGCGTAACCAACGAGGTTGGTTTCTAGCTCTTCGCGCTTGTACCCCGCGTAACCAACGAGGTTGGTTTCCAGCTCTTCGCGCTTGTACCCCGCGTAACCAACGAGATTGGTTTCCAGCTCCTCGCGCTTCTTGCCCTCGTCTGAGTCAGAAGCTCTCCGCACTTCTCTAGTGCAAAAGGTTAGATCCATAGATGAATAATGGCAGATGTATAACCCACCTTTTACCAGTGTACCCAGGCCCCCCATAAGCAACGAGGTTGGTTTCAAGCTCTTCGCGCTTGTACCCCGCGTAACCAACGAGGTTGGTTTCCAGCTCTTCGCGCTTGTACCCCGCGTAACCAACGAGGTTGGTTTCCAGCTCTTCGCGCTTGTACCCCGCGTAACCAACGAGGTTTGTTTCCAGCTCCTCGCGCTTCTTGCCCTCTTCCGAGTCAAACTCGTCACGTTGAAAGAGACTCGTGCCAAGATCCTCTCGTTCAGCTGAGTGATTAATTAGCATCTCGCTGCGACAAGTAACTATGATGCTGCTGATGGTCATGAATACTCACAGAGACCTTTCACGGTGCCTCCTGGCGTTGGGGATGCTGCAGCAAGACTGACGATAGATGTGAGCGCGCTGAAGAGAAGTAAAAACTGCATGTTTATGGATAAGAGGAGTGACTACTTCGTTAATGCACTACATTGAAAATTCTAGGATGCTTTTATACAAACGAGACAATTACATACCAATTCAGATCGGGGCAGCAGGTCCTCGGCTTTACTTATTACTGTGACCGGTTTCCCAAGCCATCGGCCCTGCTGCAGAGGTTTTACTTCGTCCAGCGAAACGAGTCGGCGGTGACCGTGCGCAAGGAGCCGCCTCGTCAGCGATGAGATGAATTGATTGTCCAACGGATTTCACTTGCCAAGTGCACACACCTGGCGAAGGGATTACCTTGCTTGCAAGTGGCTTACAAGGTTTCTTGCTCCCCGATAATGAAGGCGCATCATGTGATCGCGTGGACAGGCGGCAGACACAACAAGTGCCTGCCATTCGACTCCTCGCTTGCCTTGGGATGTGAAGTCGACGTCGGTGCCGACAAGTCGGCGCTTCAGGCAATAACATGACGACATTTAAAATTCGAACTGTGGATTATCAGGCTGCCGCCGAGAATTCCATTGCAGTAGGAAGAAATTTGTTTCTGGTGCGGTCATCGTCTTCGCACACTCTTGATGGAATGCCACCTTTGGCAGTCAAAGATGGCATGCGATTCAAATTCCTAGGCATCCATCCAGGGAGCCCTCGGAAAATACTTTGTGGCGAGAGCCGTGTTCAGCAATCGAGAAGAAGCTGGATTGGCAAGAAGTTTAGAGTTCTGACTCCACTTCTGAAGCTGAAGTTTTCATGGACTATCTCCGCTTCCCGCAAGCTCTCGCGGTATCCAGCTCGAGTAGTTTTGACGACTTCTTTTGGCGCCACAGACAGTCACTGGAATACCATGCTTGGATTTGTGAAATACAGCGAATGGAAAGGTTGT